GCTGTTAGATCTGATTGTGGTGCGGTCTGAGACAGTAGTTTGCAGTGCTGTGTTGTTGGCTTCAGAAGGCGTGAGATATCAAAACAAACGTCTTACATTAGATCAGCTGGATCAGAGCGTAGTTTGGGGGTATGATTACCTGGTGTTGTGGCCACTGGTGGGCCTGTGGTGCAAGCTTGGCTTCTGTAGCTGCACTGTGCTCTTGCAGAAGAAACCCGTACGGGAGAGCACCCAGAGGCAGATGAGCTGCAGCTCCTCGGGAAGCCTGTCGCCCTCCAACCAAGCAGCTAATGCGCCCAAACAGACCGGCCGGAGAGAGTGGAAGTACATCGCCTCTGAGAAGACCACAAGTAAGTGAACATGAACTACAGTACATTCAGAAATATTGTTTTATTTAAATCCTATGCATGATTGAGGCTCCTTTTTTCAACACTCGAATGGCTCTAACTATCTCTAATCAAACCTCTAGACCACACCTACCTGTGTCTGGCTGTGCTGGATGGCGTGTTGTGTGTGATCTTCTTGCACGGTCGCAGCAGCCCTCAGACCTCCCCCTCTGCCACCCCCTGCCTGATGAAGAGCCTCAGCTTCGAGGCCCAGCCCGAGGAGCTGGAGGAGCAGCCGCTCTCTCCCATGCATTACGCTCGCTCCGGTCTGGGCGCCGTGGCCCTGAACGGAAGACTCATCGCAGCAGGTTAGCACTAAACGGTTCTATATCAAATGACTAAGGTCTATGTAATTGGAGCTAAAAGGAGGTTGTGATACTTGGGAAGATAAATGCTTCTCTCTAGGCTTGATTGTCAGGGACAAATTGCAAAATGATGACCACAGGGATCCACTGTCTTGAATGTGATGCATTATCTTGTTCCCACAGGAGGATACAACAGAGAGGAGTGTCTAAGGACTGTGGAGTGTTACGACCCCAAAGAGGACCGCTGGACCTTCATTGCTCCCATGCGGACTCCAAGGGCTCGATTCCAGATGGCTGTGCTCATGGTACAATTACATTTTCATCCTGAAGCGACATTTTGAACATTGAGCAAGGAATCCAAATATCCACTGCATGCCTCCCTACTCCCTGTGCAACTAGTGGGGTTTCTAAATTCTCTTAACTTAATATCGATAGGTTCTTCAACAAAATCCTAATATAATGATGTTGATATTTCCACCTCACAGGGTCAGCTGTATGTGATTGGAGGATCAAATGGACATTCTGATGAGCTGAGCTGCGGGGAGATGTACGATCCACAGGCTGACGAGTGGGCTCAAGTGCCAGAGCTGAAGACAAACCGCTGCAATGCAGGTAGGTCCCTCCTTCTATACCTGATAATTAAATCAGTATTATCCAGGAAAACTCTTACATCAAGTAGCCTCTCTGTTGCTAACGTCAAGCTAGTTTGACTTTTCAGCTCATTCCTGTCTTATATTGTCCACAAATTGTTGTTTCTGTTTCAAAGGTCTCACTATTGTTCTTGTCTAACTTTGTATTTGCATACTGTATCCGTGTTAGTGTTGGAGTTTCTGCCCTGAGTAAATAAAGGTGTAATTCAGTCAGTCAACAACCGCGTCTCTGTTTTTAAAGGCGTCTGCTCATTGAACAACAAACTCTACGTCGTGGGTGGGTCGGACCCCTGCGGGCAGAAGGGCCTGAAGAACTGTGATGCTTTTGACCCTGTGATCAAAACCTGGTCTAACTGTGCCTCCCTCAACATCAGTACGTTTACACATACACTAAAAATATAGTAATAATATATATAATTTGAATATGTATAACATGGTCTAACCTCAAGCATAAAGCTGAATAATGTATTTTTCAGAGATCTAACAAATTCCTGTCTTGCATACACTTTAATTATTCCCTCGGTGTTGCAGCTCAGAGAACATGTTATTCAAGACCAAAAGTTGGATAGCTATTCATCAGAGACTTGCTTGTGTGATAATTGCAGCCCGAGGAACAATTGGAAAGTTTAATTAATTAATCACATTTTCTTCTTCCAGGGAGGCACCAGGCTGCCGTGTGCGAGTTGGACGGCTTCATGTATGTGATCGGAGGGGCGGAGTCCTGGAACTGCCTTAACACTGTGGAGCGCTACAACCCCGAGAACAACACCTGGACCCTGATCGCCCCCATGAACGTGGCTCGCAGGGGGGCCGCTGTCGCTGTCCATGCAGGTCAGCTCACAACAACAATGAGCAGTTAAATCAGCTGCTGCTCTACGGCAGCATCATGTGCAAAGATCAACAGGAAGCAGACAAAGTTATTTGTGTTTGTCATTATGTTGATAGTAATGTCTCCCCCTCTACCCAGGCAAACTGTTTGTTATTGGCGGCTTCGATGGCTCCCACGCGCTCCGCTGTGTGGAGGTGTACGACCCCGCCCGCAACGAGTGGAGGATGCTGGGTAGCATGACGTCGTCCCGCAGCAACGCGGGCGTGGCCATGCTGGGAGAAACCATCTACGCTGTGGGCGGGCTTCGACGGGAACGAGTTCCTCAACACGGTGGAGGTGTACAACCCCGAGACGGACGAGTGGAACGACTGCACCACGACCCTGTCTCCCCTCTCGGACTGAAGAGAGGGAGGGAGGGTTGGGGAGTTTCAGTGCTTCACCTTTTCCAAACTAACAGGCTTAGTGACGTAATCGTGTTTCGTGATGTTTTGTCTGTGTGTGTGGGTGGGGATGGGGGATTGTTGTGATGAGGGGTCTTCAGTGAAGACTGGCTTGTATTTGGCGGGTGGGATAAAAGGGAGGGGGGCGGGGGGGGTTGCCCAAAGCAACATGACGCCTTTGCATATTGCATACAATGTTTTTCGTGCTGTATATATTTTGTTCCTTCCTTATTTTTTGTCATATGCCAACATTTAATACACATTTAGTGCTTTTCTTTTTAACTTGGAGTTGAAAGGTTTTTCACTGGAGGGTTTTCAGATGAGCTAGCCGTTATCGGTCACTTGGAACGTGGCAGTATGGTGACAATTGGCTTTGATGGTTTTATTTGAGAATATTTGTAGAAATGTTACTTTGCTCACATTTAATGGTCAGTGGTTTGAAGCCTTACTCGGAGAGTGCGAGTTAGAAAAGAAAACACCTCATGGCTATTTCTGTCATTTTAAACGAGCTGGATTGCTTTTTTGAATCTTAAATGGCCTTTTTTATATTTTTTTATACACTGCTGATTTACTGATAAAAGTAGTAGCAGATGGCTTGAAGTCAATGAATCTAACCAGTGCCAGTTTTAGTAATACCTTTGTGCACACACCACACACGCACAACCATGCTTCTGCTAACCAAACTTTTGTTATTGTGATTGAACTAATCAATGTATGTAGAGATGCGGTTTACTGAAGATTCTTATTTCTCTTTTGTGTTTTAAAGTGTCAGGCATTGGCAGATTCTTCTGGAGGGAATGTTAAAAACGAAAATTAACACATTTGTAACATTTCTTAATTAATAAATCATTTAAATCTGATTTTGTCTCCAGCCTACTCTCTGAATGTATGTCATTAAGTGATAATGGACAATCACTTTGCCACACCTGATTCCATTGTTTATATCAATCTAAAAGTAACTGCCAGGACTGTTTTTACATTTGAAGTAAAATATGGAAGATAGTTAGCCTTAGTAGTTTAGCAGCTGAACAAACCTAAGTACAGCTGATTTGCTGACTCTAAATGTAGATTTTACTACCACCTCGTCTTCCACATGTACTGCTCTAACTATCGAGTAGCTGTCTAAGCTTTCAGGGAATACCACACTAAGCCAAGTATTTTTCTGCTCCTCTAAGTGTCTTTCAGGAGAGATTATACTGAGCCGGCTCTCGGACCTCAGCGTCACTGAGCTGCTGAGAGGGGAACCAGCATCTGCATGACCTCACTGACGCTTTATTAAATCTCTACCCAGCACTCATTCACAAGTTAGGCCCTGATAATCTCTGCTGATACACCTCAGTCATTGGGAGGGGGAGGCAGCAGATGGGCCATGTGCTACCGGAAGCAGAGGCTTAAACTCAGACACTGAGTCTGTACTCTAAGAAGCAACAAGGCTTCCTCGCGGTTTGAAACAGAAGTGGCAAAAGTAACAAAAGCGAGGGCATAGTTTATTGTAAAGGCAACTACGAATGTAAATGCAGTATTCCATGCATTTATAAAGCTCAAAAAGGATTAATGTAATGAGCTTCCTGTTCATTACTCATATTTACAACCAGCACAGAAACACCTCAACAATAACTAAATAATCCAGAGGAGATGAAAATGTGGGTTTCATGGCAGATAAACAGTTTCTAAAGAGAGAAAAGGTTAATTACAAATTACATGTATAAGCCTATATTCCTGCTACTGCAGTATTTTTGACTTTTTTTTAGAACATTTTAGTTATCCAGAATATTTATATTGTTTATATTTGATATAATCATTTTCATCTTATTTCTAATTGTTATTTCTCTATTCCACTTTTTAAGTATTTGTATTTTAATGTGTATTTAACACTGCTGCTTCTGTAACAAAATAATTTCCCAAATTGGGATCAATAAATTATATATATATATCGTTTGTCACAGGCTGGCTGCGCTGGCATGAATATGGATTATATTTAGAAACTAATAAAGAGGACATTGAAAATTCAATGCACCCTTTATAAAGGATTGTTGTTTTTTTGGACAGTAAATATACCTATGACGCAGGAAACAATTAAAGGTCAGAGTCCAACTTTACTGAACAGTATGTTCAAATACAGCGTGTCTGCATAGTCCAACTCTACTTTGAGATAACGAGACAGGAAGCTCATGACTTCATTGGCACCTGTAACTTTTTCGTGTGTGTGTGTGTGTGTGTGTCACAGCAGCAGCAGGTGTAATCTCAGACTGTCACCTGCGACCTGATCCACTACATTACACACACATGCACTCACACTCAGGTGAGCCTCTACTCACTGAGGACTGCAGGAAGCACCACGATTGATTGATGAAAGCAATACATTTGAGAAAAAAGACAATGCCAAAACATTTATTTGTTGTAAACATTTAACTCTTTTACATAAAATATATTTTCTGTTCTCAAATTATTTACATTTCTACTTAAAAATCAACCAAAAACCTTCGGAAGCTGAACACTCATTGGTTTTCAAAGTAGACTCCCATCTTAAATGACAACCTCTCTGATAGCTTCAGTAGAAAAATATAAAATAAATAAATTGCCACTTTGTTTCAGCTTTTTACTAGATCATTGCTTGGCCTTAAAGAGTCATGATTTGAGGAAAAAGCTCAGGCAGTAAACAACTTAAGGTTATATAACAATATGGTTTGAAACCTTTGTTTTATCTCTAAGCTACTGTATAATTTGCAGTTGGTTGCATTAAGTCTAAAGCATGGTTTGTGACAATTATTTCTTCAGTGAAACAGGAGGACACTGAACTTTACAATCTACTTTGTGTGCGAATAAAACAATCAAGATGTTAAGTGTTGAGAACTGGTGGGCTGAATGTGTTTCCTTTGAACAGAGCTAGGAGAGATGCTTCTCCCTGCCTCCAGTCTTTATGCTAAGCTAAGTTTATCTAGGCCTAGCTTAATATTGAATGAGGTTTGCATCTCCTCATATTTACCTTAATGTCGTACTATTACTTTAGGACCAGTGAACTAAAGCTTTTGTTGACGTTTAAGAATCATAAATAATATGAACCAACTGATAATTATGTCTGTGTTTAAAAAAAGTGAAAAGATATTAAAATTAACTACGGTCAAATATATCAAATAAGTTTTCACAGTGGCCGTGGGGTAAACCTAGAACTTCAGAAATTTGCATCATCATACCTTCATATGATGCAAAAATACCCAGCTCTATGTTTGTGAACTATGTAACAAACTGCAATCAAATGTTTGTATAACAACTAATGCCAGGGCTGTGATTGGTTACAAACTGATCACTTCTAACAATAAAAGCAAGATGAAATCATGAGACAGGATTGCTCAACTGTAATTTGGCAGGTAATATGAAAACGATATGTAAAGTAGCTGAAGGAATCTTGGAGAACATTGAAAGCAACACTTGATAGTTGACCTCTGAAAACTGTCAGAAAAATACTCTCTTTAACAAAAGGTGTCACCCTTAAGAAATAAGGAGAAAATCCATAGACATCCATCCCTTTGTGTGAAGCAGAATATCATAAGAAACATTTTATACATTTTAACGGAAAATAAAAAAAGGTAAACGGCTTCAGTATCCAGAGTATGAGCAGACACCTCTGCAATTGACAGTTTTCACTTCAAGTAAAGGATATCAGTTTATTTAGTGCATCTGATTGGCTGACGTGCAGACTCTCTAATTCTGAATCATCAGGCCCGAGATGTGTTGAAGTTGATGTGTTGACAGGTGACCCCAACACAGCGATCCAGGACCTCTTTGACCCCCAATAACTGGTTCCCTCCGATACTGAGCTTCTCCCTGGAAACACAGACACATTAGATACAAACACAGGAGAGTGTGCTTGGACAGCCTTTGACCAATGGAGCTTATTTTCTCCATCATCTTGTTACGATTAACATGTGAACAAAAATATTTCGGCCAACATTAGGAGTCTGTATTTGTGTCTTTTGCTGTGATTTAAATGGGTTGGGAAAGCTGATGTCCCCTGCTTTCATGCACCAATCTACAATCTATCCAACCCTAACCCTAACCCTGAACGTAACCCTAACCCTAAGCAATATTTCAATAATCACCTCTGGCTGGAAGAGAACTCTGTGCTCCATAGTTTTCCTATTCACTGTACATTTTACATTTATATATTCAGTCTAATATTTCATATTCCATCCGTCACATACTTGTGTAAATATAACACCTTGCTATATATCTTGTTATTGTTAATTTGTAAATTCAACATGTATATTTTCTACTTTCTTGTTTATTTCTTGTCTTTAAATTTGTATTGTACAATGCCATGTCTTTTATGCTGCTGCAACACAAACATCTCCCAAATTGGGATCAATAAAGTTCTATCTTATCTTATATTCTAATCCAAAAACTGTTAATGTTTCTTACTCAGTCATACATGTTTATTACCACCAATCCTCTCTGTTTGGGAATTGTTCATTGTTGTCGTGAAAAATGCGTTTCTGATTACTTCTAAATCCTGACTTGTATGCGTTTGCTCCTCTATTTGGTGTCTTAGAAAAAGACAAAGTCCATTAGCTGGGTTTATACACCCTGGTTTTAGTTAAGTGTTTATTGTATCCATTGGTAAAGGCAGGAAAACCTTTTAGGCTTCAAAAAATAAATATTCCAGTGAAAGATTGCAGAATTTCCCTTGGTATTATCTGGATGAACCTGGGTGACTCCACGCAGACATCTTGCTTGGTACACTTTGTATTTGCTGACCATGTTGGGCACAGAATGTCCAGAAACAAACAGAAGAGCTTCTGTGTCGGCTGCAGCTTCCACACATCCTGCAGCTCAATGACAGCTATTGACACACTTTTCCCAGTGAATTACATTTTTCTAGTAACAACAACATATATATATAACCATATAGTTACAAATGCACAATCTTAACACAACAACAAGTCTTCATCGTGAGCACAAACACAAATTCGCTACGAGAGCCTTGGCAACGGCTGCCTAGCAGCGAAGACACTGGGGGAGCTTGTTGCTTGTTTGTTTCATCCTCTGCTTTGTTTCCATTGGACCATTATATAACTACAGAGTGGAGAGAAGAGGAAAGAAAGAGCAGTATTTGCCGGCTGTTTACGCCTCCTGTTTTCTCCCTACATCCATCCAGTTCTCCTCCTTCATCCAATGGCGCAGCTGTGTGTTTTCATAACCTGCGGATAGTGCAGGTTGTGTAAGCGACTCTTCACTCTTGCCGGGATTCGGACACTCTGTCACTGAATAATCAGATTTTACATTCCAGCATGCTCCATGGAAATGATTACTGTGTGAACGGTTTCCGTTAGATGTGTTTACTTTGCTTCAGCTACGGATTCATGAGTGACAAAGAGCATGGAGCTTTTTGGAGGGAGGATCTCTCAACGCAGTCACACAAAAGTCAGTGACGCACACAAACTGTGCACAGAGTCACTGACCCAGATCATTAATGTATACACAGAGCTGCGCTGCTCCTGCTTGTTTCATAACAGCCTTTACTGTATGTGTTTCACAGGTTATTAATTTATATCCCCTGGAGACCATAACGATTCACACGGAATTTTGTATAGAACCACATGATGCATTAGGTGATGTAACTGATCCCTGTTCACCCTCAGCCAATCACGTCATGCTGCTATGGACACATGGATCATCTCCATGGGAACACATTTTGGTATCCACAATCCACGTTAAATTACATGTATCCAAAGTGACTCACAATAGGTGCAATCAACAATGAGGTGGTCGATTCAGAACATCAAGAATCCTGCAAGTACATTATTACCATTTGAAGTAATAATATATACTTAAACTTTTTTTTTATTTGAAGGATCAGGGCGCAGTTGAAACAGGTGTGATTAAACTTTCTACGACAAAAGAGATGTAGCCTTTCTGCTGTCCTGATACTAACAGGGAGCTACTGTTCAAAATCGAAAGAAAAATAACAACAAGACAGATACAGAATATGTATAATGTATATCAATCGGAAAATATATGCTGTAATTTTAGTATTTTTTGTCACACTCTTTTTCTTCATACTGGTAATATTGTCTTTATATCTTTCACTGTGCACCAACTGTGCTGTGAAGGCTCTCAGTTTAAAATATTTGTTCACACTTTAATAATCGGGTATACATAAAGCCAAACCTGTTTTTTTTTATTCATTTGACTTGCCATTGAAAGCAAAACGTTGCCCTTTTCGAGAGTGACTCAGTCCTACAGAAAGGCTTATGTAGGAATGCCAGTTAATGGTAGCAAGGTGGCCCTGGGTTTGCTTATAAAACGGCAGAACAACAAAGACTGGGGAAGGCCTTGGCGTAGCATTAGTATAACAGAAAAGTTGAATAGTTCAGCAACATAATAGAGAATATAATAATAATCCTCAATCCACTCCTCCATAGTAAGGCCCCCCCCGGAGGTCGAAGTTAACCTTGAATGTTTCCATCTTAAGCTTTGTTAGTTAGTTAGTTTCGTAACGGACGTAATGTAACAGTTGTAACGGTTGTAGCTTTTCTCATACATACGGGATACATGACTTGTGAAAAGTAACTACAATTCTACCCGTGATATACGCTCATTATATCACGGCTAAGAACCAATCAGATTGCTTGATTCGACTTGTCCGTTTTATAACTAATATTTTGACACAAGATAATGATCATAACGGATAAGGTAAAGGTAGTGAAGGTTGTGATCTGACTGATGGTAACACGCAAACTGGCCTTCAAACACATACAACGTAAACCATTATAAAAGTGGCCCTGATGACACATCCACGTGTGAAAAGAACCCATGTGTACCAAAGCAGCATAACAGAAACACCACCAACAGGTAAAAGGAGAGTTAAGCTACATATAATCAAATATGTACTGGACCTTAGGTATATAGCAGAAGGCTGAATGAGCACATTTGTTTTGTTTGGTTACATTCCCACCTGCTCTATAAAATCTGTAATATTGAGATGGCACTTGGAAAAGGGCGTATGTAAACACACAAGTTCATGCATGTCTGGCTCAACTGTGTTGCAAATAATTTATAGGCGAAAACCATAAAATATATCCTTCTTGTAAACACATCAGCTTTTGGGGACATCAGCTTTTCCAACCCATTTAAATCACAGTAAAAGACACAATGACAGACTCCTAACTGTCAGAAATGTTTGTTTCCACATGTTAATGGTAACAAGATGATGGAGAAAATAAGCTTTAGGCTGTCTATTGCTCAAGAATTGCAAGGAACATGCACATAAATATAAGTATCCATTCCCAGTTCATTTTCAGTCAGACTTTCATCAAGAATGTGAGAAGTGTCTATGTCCTTTAACAATTACTGAACGGGTGGTGTTTCTATGCTAGTAGTTTTTTAAAGTATCTATCGTGATTACTTTTTGATTCTTTTTTTAAAGCCAACAGAGGAAACACAGAAGATTTCTTTTTAAATCAGACATTATTACATTATTGTGTGCGTTTGAGGCCCACTTGTTCTGAGAGCTGCCTGCAGTGAGCGTGCTCCTGGCCTCCCTCAGGCTTTATATAACAGATGACATCAAACCACCGCACTGAGCATCAAAATCAAATATTTAACACCCCAGATAATGCGTTCACTAAGTAAAGGTCTACATCACTTCACAGTGAGTGTACCAAATGAAATATTTACAATCACAACACATCCAGCTTAACTGTATCTGTCAGCGGTGACCTGTTGTTACAAAAGCTGTATGACGTGACCGGAGAGCACCTGCAAAGCTCTTCCACCAAGTGACACAGCAGATGTTTTCTTTGAATACACCTTCATTTTGATCATGGTTTCAAACCACTATTCTACGCCAGAAAGTTCCTCTTTGAAATGCAGTCAAATATACTTTTAGTTATCCTATGATCATTGTTTGTTATGTTAATACCATAAGCATTATCAAGACAACAACCAAGTGCTAATTCAGAGTTATCTCTGTCAAGTGACCCATAGTTATGTATGTTAAGTATTTATAGCATAGGGGTTATGAAATCATGAGGAACAGCTTCTGACAGTGAGACGGCGGCATTAAGAGATGACACATAATGGCCGGAAACGGATAATCTGTTGATAACATGGAACTGGTCCCTGTTTCCATGGAAGCAGCTGAGTTCATACAAGCAGATGCATGTCATGAGGGACCTGGAGTGGCGTGATATACTGATTAATGTACGCGGGCATTATGTTACTGAATTTGTATGTAGCTTCTTAACACAATATTCTTATGTAATTAGAGTTGAAACTAACTTTTGTATTATTAATTAATCTGTGCATTTGTTTCGAATAATTGCTTGTTTGTTAGGACTATAAAGTCTCAAAAAATGTGTGTCATTTAACCGAGATATTAACATTTTGAGTCAAATACAATGACATCATAACTATTAAGAGATTATTCAAATATAATTATTAAATGTAATATGAAACATCGACTGCAGCTGAAGCAAAGTATGCATGCATGTTAAATCATGTCATATTACGAGCAACAAGCAGAAAAAAGCTGCCAAGGATAAGCAGGATAAGTAGGTTAACTGTGTATTTGTATGGTTATATATGTGTTCTATTTAGACAGCGCTAATAATAATCTTAGAGAAAGCGTTAAAGTAAAGTCTGTGTGACAGGAGCGAGTAAAAGAAAGTGCAGAGGTCAGTCTGGAGTCCTACATTCTGACAGTGCTTCTTTATCTCAAGCTGCATACAGATACCTCACTCCAAAATAAACTTATAAATGATTACATAAACATAATAAAATGTAGGCCACAGATGATACGTAACAAACTCCAGCTGTGATCCTGTATATGCTCGGTATAATATATATATATATATATATATATATATATATAATATATCAATACTTAATTAGAGTTTTATGAGAGTCCATTCAGGAGCAGTCCAAATACTGTTTAATCTCCACAGTTGAAATGAAGTCTACTGGTTACTTAACATTTCATTCTAGTTTACACTGTCCCTTGAAAAGGAAACGTTAATTCAGGATTATATTCTAATAACTAATACAAATAATTTGTGATCCAGGCAACTAAACCAGTCCCATTACACAAGTACACATATCTTTGTTTATAACCAGTGTCACAATTGTTTTGAATTGTTAACATGGCAACTGTTTTTGTGAGAGCTCTGCTGGGGATATCTATGAGAGACACGGACATGCCCGGTCATGCTTCAACAAAGACATACTCAGGGAACATGAGATTGTTTGATTATGCAATTAAAGAAAGTTGTTGCTACATTATTCGCACATGTCACATCACGGCGGGATAGCATCTTTTTCATTAGTTTAATACGCTTATCATCCAAAACATATGGATTTGAGATGTTGTATCTGTGAAACATTTGAAAGACCTTATGTATCAGAGTAATTAGTGAGAATGCGTGTGTGTGCGCTACCTGTTGTCTTGTTGTACGAGACAGTCCAGGAAGTCTTTGGCTGTCAATCTGGAGTCCAAGTTAACAATCTGAAACACAATGCATGAAGGCAGATCTAAATATGAACAGTTCAACATGACAAAGAGCATTGCTGCTGCAGAGAAAGGGCAAATGAGTTGAATTAATGGCACCGATCTGATTACATGCCAATAACTGTGAAATGTCACCAACCTTATTAGAGTGAAGGATGCTGAGCAGCGTCTGGACTTCCTCTAACCGCGGGGCTGATGACAGGACACTGGAGAAAAACAGAAACACACACTTTAAAGAGGACCTTTCTTCCATGTCTGAAAAAAACGTCTTTATTCTTAACATTGGTGCAGCACTTTATCAGAAATTCTGATTCAGTTCATCTGAACTAATCAAACCATTTGTTTTTTTAAATGCCTTTAAAGATATCATGTGGTTTTTTTAAATGTCTTCTCCCCTGCTACCCTTTCCTACAGATTTAACCATTTCTTAAGAAAGTGTTTAAGTCAAGACGGTCATAAAGCATTTATACATGATGCTCTTTTTACATTTAGATATCATATTTTGGCACACATATAGTCTGAACACATTGAGAGCAGGTAACAAAATGAATACACAGCACTTTTCTCATCCATCCTTCACCATTGCGACTCATCGAAATGCTCACACACAAACACACACCACTTCGCTAATATATTAAAAAAGTAATAGAGAAAAAGAGACCAAGTAATGGCAGTAAATGAAGGGATATGAAGACTAGAGAATGATCCTTTGAGCAGAGACATACATTATATATATCTGGTGTCAGCAGAATGAGAAAAATGAGTGAGACGGAGACAACCAGAGATTGCCTGTAAAAAATGAGTCACAGCTCTGCTCAAACACGTGAAAATGAGTCCGGCCGTCTCCTAGGCAACTGTACTTGAGAAGCCCAACACATACATACACACACACACACACAAACACACACACATTCACACACATGCATGTGCAGATAGAGACCCAATGAGCGTTTTACTTGAAAGCTTATTCTACAACATTCCGTTATTTCAAGAAATATGACATTACTGCTATGTTTAATGAGTGTGCATTGGGTAGGCGTAATGTTTTTGTGTTTTATATCCATTATTCATGCTCTAATGTAACCAACAACACCAAAATTAATATATATTTTCCCGCAGAAGAACATGGGAATCAAATTGACCCGTGTAGTATTTATTCATATATGAATAACCATATCTGCTTCACATCGACCCAGTCTATTTACAAATACATAAACAACTTTCAGGTTGAACTACAGTATTTGAACCCAAACAACAATTCTTAAAAGCAAACCCACAATTTGAGAGAAAAGCTAAATCTGAAAACAAATCTGCTTTTAAACGAAGCTGTGGGAAAACTTGTTAAAGGTTTATTTGGGCAGAGTGAACAGCACCTTCATCAGGTCCTGCTTGTGCTCTTAGGGTCTCAGTGTCAGTATGACAGGGTCTGCACAATTAAAGCTACATGTGTAAAGTATTATCAGTACAACCAGTGTTTTGAGGATACTGCTCCTCTTTGGACTCATTAAATAACATTTCACCAATAAAATAACAATAATATATCAATACCCTCTCCATATTGAACGACTACTCAAACAAATGGACACAAATGATTGATGAATTGTGTAAATAAAAAACAGCAAAGCGATATCAAAACGTTTCTTTACAGACTCTCACACCACCAGTGCAGCAAAATCCAAAATGAGACTTTAAATGCTGCCCTCATTTTCTTGCATTTATTAAGAATATTTTCTATGTTTTGATTATTCGTTTACTGTGAAGTCAAGATAACATGTCAATTGACATACAAATAGCAATTTTGCGGGTCAAGTATAACTTTAAATTGACAAAGACCTTCTTAAGAAGCTACAGCTGTGACATCGTCTACAGGAAATGATAGATAAACATCTTTTGACACCCGGCCTAACACATATACTAAGTAGCCTACCTGCCATAAATTCAAAACATAGTGTATCAATTCCAGGTATGAGACAACATCTGATAATGAAGTACCTACTGTCTTCATATACTGCCAATCACAATAACCAGTGGATCTTCAGAGGCCTGGATTTTTTAAGTGGTAATAAAGTGCACTTTGGACACATACTTAGGTGTTTAATGGGTTATGATCTGAGAGGGCTGTTTTATAGCTATACTCAGCTGAGAAAACATTGCATCATTTGTATTTCCTTCTCCCATCCCCACATAGATAACAATATAAAATCACCCTTGCCTTGTTGTTCAAATTTGTATGGCTATTTATAGTTGGTTGTTTAGGTTCTGCAAAGTCTTGCTTAAACTAAATATGTGAAACTCCATTGCAGTTTTTCAGTAAGATGGCAACTAATCAAAACAACATTTTATATACTGGTTATTTCAAGGTATACTGGTTTTTCTAGACCTACAGAGTTTGAGGTTGAATGAAACAGAGGGAACAACAGGCATGTTGCCCTTTTGATGAGAGGAGTGTGTACCCTTCCCCTCAAAGAGATCCAAATGTCACGGTGAATCCCAGCAAAGAAATAAATAATATACTGACACCTCACTGGCCTCTGTAATCGTGTGATGTTGGGTTATTTTGTGCGTGTGTGTTAGAGTGGAAACAAAGGAACAGGACACATCAATTGGAAAGACCTGGGTTACGAAATGTTCTTCGTCTAGCTAGCTTTCTAAAGAAGTTGCGTTAATGTGAAGAGTTCTGTGGTGACGACAGTGCAAATCATCACCAACTGGGAGAACAGGTTGACTGCACGCAACTGATGTCAGCTTGAAAGATTATATTTATGATGATTGATGATATTTCCAAAGAAGAAGGACACAAATCCAATAAAAAATGCTCTTGTGACATGTTATTTCACAATGGTGTCAATTCTTTATGGTGGACATTCCTCATTGCCTTCACGCAAAGATCCACTCAGCTTTTTGCCACTACCAATAGTGAATGGTGGATAACGTGCCAATATGTGTGCAATGTGAGCCAGTATATTTCAGATGGGAAAGCCTAAAGGAGGTAAATAAATCTTATGCATTATTGTGAGCATTTTTCTTCTTGAAGGCACGGCGAGAAACTTAACAGTGTTGCAGGGTAGAGCCGTCTTTAACGTCACAGGAAAGGTGATAAGGCAAAGCTACAAGGTCAAGCAGATTAACACTACATGCCAAATAGGGCCTGAGGGCTGAGAGCAAAACACACACACACACACACACACACACACACACACACACACACACACACACACACACACACACACACACACACACACACACACACACACACACACACACACACACACACACACACACACACACACACACACCACACACACACACACACACACACACACACACACACACACACACACACACACACACACACACACACACACACACACACACACACACACACACACACACACACACACACACACACACACAGAGAGAGAGAGAGAGAGAGGGAGGTGGAGGCTGGTTAAGGACAGGTGAAGGGGCTTCTTAGAGGGACTTGCATTGACGATGAAAACAGAATGACACAATAGTAGAGGAGGGTCACTGACATATCATCACTTTCTGAATTAATATGCTGAACTTGAGACAACATTCAGTAACATTATTGTTCATTAATTAAGAGTTTATGGTCAATGGTTGAATGAAAGTCTTCCCTCCTTTATGTCTCTTTTGGGTCTGTCCTGAGGGAATATGTGTTGTTTGGCGGCTTATGCTTTACTATGTTCACCAGCCATTTGCTAACTTCACTGGGCAAATGGTGTGCAGTGTTACGAGCTTTTTAGACCAAAAATCACTACTGAATGGAAACTACGCTGTAAGAGTAGTGAGAATGAAACAAAACAGTGGGCTGAGATACCTGCTGAAGATCTGGAGCAGCTGTGAGACTATGCAGCACAGATTGTGCAGACAGTCCACGGCGTCCTGTGGTGGCGCAGGACCCCCCCCCGGCTGAGCGCTCTGCATGGAGTTAGGGTCAAAGCCCAGAGCTTTGAACACTTCCAAGCTGAAACATGACAGAATAAAATGACCTCAGGGGTTAGTTGAATGGAATAAAAAACAATAGCTTTATCAAAACAAACCTTCTAAAGTGTTTTTCTTTTTTTGCAAGAGACATCGATCGCTGTACAGAATGATTCGTCTTGCAGCAGAAAACAACACTTGAAAATAACATGAAGTGTTTGCTGCTTAAACGAAATGAAGGCATTTTGTGGAAGAAAATCTGTGAAATCAAATAATCCTCAAATGTTCTCTGCAGTATAAACATCCCTAATCCCTGTTACACCCACCTCATCTGAAACACATAAGACCAGAGGTGTTCAAACAGGGCCCACACTTCCTGGTGCGAGAAAGGAGCAGGCGTGGGTTGTTCCGCTTCTTCTTCTTCATCATTATGATACTCATCATCTTCATTCATGACAACATCGATGGCAGGAGATTCCCACTGCACACACAGACAAAGATGATAAAGCTATAAAATCCAACAGTGTGTAAAAACCTGCGTATGATATATAATATATTTATGCTATAAGGTATAAGCCTATGGTATAAACACAAAACACAGTATCATATCTTTTTTGTATTTCTGTGCTTTCCAAAACACCACAACATCAAACACAATTCAGAGATTGCAGTCGTAGAATAGTGGCACACCCTTTGGACAGATAAGAAGTGGAATATGTTTGAGCTGTGATTGCAATAGGAACATTTCAACTCCAAATTAGCTCCTAGTTTACCTGTGGTTGTCGCTTATTGAAAATGTTGTCCATTCTGGAGATGGCACCGGAAACGCGTCTTGACCTTTTCCCAAATGCTTTCACAAGCTCCTTAGCATCTCGGAGGAGTGCTGATGCATCTCTACAGTGCGATGTGCCACCTGAGCAGACACAGGACAGGAAGATATGAGCACATATGCACCATCAAATAAAAGGGACACATACATTCAGTTGCCGTTTTTCAACAGGTACACCTAGGCAAAAGGGGCAAGTAGGTTTTGTGTGTCTGTGTGTGGGAAACAAAAGAGCCAGGCAAAGAAACATTGTGGACAAAAACAGAACAGGGCTGCAACTATTGATTGATTTTATTATTGATTCATGTGCTGATTAGTTCCTAGATTAATTGTGTGCTCTAAAAAACATCAAAGAATAGTAGAAAATGTTCCATTCCAGTTTCTCCAAACCAAGGAGATGTAATGTTATGCAATTTCTGCATGACAAATGTCTAATCTTCATGATTAATCATCTATGAAATTGTGAATGTTCTATTATTGGTCAAGGTTACTGTGAGCATGTGTGTTTGTCCAATTGTGATCCAAAATGCTATGAGACATAACAGATTCAGAATGACTATCAAAACAAAGGGCCAGAAGTTGGTTGAGCATTTCTATAGTAGTGCACAACTTATGTTAAATGATTTTCCGACCCATTACTTTGTAGTGGAATCAGGCTGCGTCATTTTAATCTACTGAACCCTATGATAGGTGACACCGGTCTCTAGCCCCGACTTAACATACCTTTGAGCTAATTTAAAACTACCCATAAAGCTTTGTCCCTTTTTAGGCGGTTGTAAAAGATGTGTTAAAGGTCACCTATTGTGCAAAATCCACTTTTTCATGTCTTTTATACATAAACATAAACATTTACTGTGTAAAGAGCTTCTGAAAGTTTCAGGAAAAAAGATTCTCTTACTTTTTGTCCTGATCCATTTATATAAAAACCTGTCTGAAAATGAGCAGATCAGATTTGGGCCACTTTATGATGTCATAATGTTTTTTTGGCTTGTGTAACCATTAGCAAATAACCAACCAAGGTAACCCCCCCCCCCCCCCCCACCTTATCACCTGCATCTCCTCCTAGAGCACCATAGTGTTCTTTTTAACCAAATATCTCTCAGAGGGGCGTGGGGAGTCGCTCCTTATTTTCATCTAAAGTAACAGACAGAGAATCAGCACTTTTGAAACAGGACTGAATCAGAGGGGTTTATGGGATGCTACAATGCATGATCTGTTTGGTATTTGGAGACAAACACTTCAGAGACATGTTTTGAATATATCTGAGACCTATAATATATTGAGGAAAAACAGTATAATAGGGGACCTTTAAGACTGACTACAAACACACTAACAGTCTGCTCAAGGGAGAACAGCAAAGACAAAACTAAATCACATGCAGTACTTTTCCACTCTGAGATTCGTTCTTAGCCTCACATATGGTTTACCCCTCCCTCCCTCTCTCCCTGCTCCTTTCTTCCGCCTTTCCTCCTCCTCCTCCTCGCCCTTCTGTCACAGTCTTGGAACAGAGCCAAGCTGCGTGGTACCAAGAAATCCTGAATAATGTCAGCGTACCAGGGATACAGAGAGCAAGGGCAAAACTCCATTGTTTTCCATATAAACATTCTCGGAAGCCTTCAAAATAATTGGGCCACAGTTCAAACTCAAACAGGTGGACGGGGAGATTTAGACACACACATACACAAACACACACACACACGCGATTACATGTGATGTTATTAGATCCAGTAATGAGATCCAGAGACAGCAGGGCTGCAGTGGACAGCTCAGCATCTTTTTGACACACATTTGAGTGTCCTGTTTTAGCCGATGACCTGATTCTGCATGTAGTTCTGTAGGGCTGTAGCGCAGTGCAGGGCACACCACATCATACAACAGTGGAGTAAGCGTTTTATCTGGGGGATGACTCAGTATTTAAACTCACTGTCCAGAGAAGACAAAAAAAAAAGGCTACGCTTACAGTCTCGAAACTGTGACAGTGCATTAACACAGTGAGGTATCTTTGCATTTAGAGACCACTGGGAGCTTTGCCTTGTTGCTTCAGCAGATGTGAACGTTTGTGCACTTGTGTCTTACATAACACCTTAAGTTATTTTTAAATCCATTGCAAACCTCTAAATGAAGATTAAAATCCTAGAATGTTTTCAGCTACATAGTATGACTAGCAACAGAGAAAAATGCTTAATACATTTGTTTTAACAGATTTTGAGATGAGTGACTCAGCATTATCTAAGCCATATTTTAAATCACAGTTCATGGCAAAACAGCTTAAAATAAGGTACAATTCTAAAACTGAATTGATTTATCAGACCATGTGGAATAGGTTACTATGTTCATTCCTAAACTGAGCAATATATTCATTTTTATTTGTATTTTAGTTTCATTTCTCAATTAAGAGATTCAGAGATTCCAAACAAAAACCAAAATAATGATAATATTTAACTGGGGTAAAATGTATTAATATATATATATATGTGTTTTTATAAATACTGTTGAGAAAAACTGAAATACATGTAGTTGCTCCCTTTCTTCTACCTACATACCTGAATTGAAAAAGTTGATGAGGGTTGAAACAGTTTGCTGTTTCCTCCGTGGGACAATGTTCCCAAAGACGGCAATCCAGTGCTTTTTAAAACATTTCAGAACATCTAGAAGAGTCCATGGAGGTTTTATGTAAACTATCTGTGAAACAATAAAAAAAAAAAACACAATAAACATTATCTACATGAAAAAATACAAAATGTTGCATTGTTCAAAATGACATCCAGACACGTATATAGCACGAGGAGGAGATATGATCATTTTCCTCCAAAAACACATAAATCTAATGACCAAGTCATGCGAAGATTAAACCAAAAACACATGTTTGATCTCCTCAGATAAGATTTGGATGTTTTAAATGCACGTTAATTACAATATAAGCTAAAAGATCAAGTGAAATTCTAAGTGCAATCTTACATCTAGCCAAATGTCTTCGAAAGCGGCCTTCATCTCCACCTCCAACACATCTGACAGCACCTCGAGCAGACACTGTTCTAGTTCAGAAACACTGCTAGGGTCCCACACTGGCCTCTCATCCCCTCGCTTGTTATCTGTTATCAATTGCACACATAACGTTTGTATATGAGAACATGTATGAAATAAAACATAATGCAGGACCGCAGTTATTCTTGAGCAAGATTATACATGTATGTACAGCAGCAAAGAACAGGAGCACATGCTAACTGTCCATTGACTGTGTGATGGTGAGGATTTCACTCTTTATTTTATTGAATTACTTGTTTGTTAAATATATGTCGCCTGAATGGAGGCAAACAAAGCATGGAAAAAAGTGGTAAGACATAGCAAGTGAAGGTATGGATGTTTTGCTTGAACTATTACAACATTACAGAATATGGCAAGTAATTCCTGTTCTGCAAGAAGCGCACATGAATCCCTGGCTCACCGTTCTCCTCTACAGTATGGAGTCCTGTCCTTTGCATGCGTGGCTGGACTGGTGCGTAGATCCTGTTTTGCATTGCTGATGGGACCTGAGGGCCGACATTTTGCGGAGGATGAAAGCCATGTTTGGATCCCCCAACCTCTGCCTCCAGATCAATCTTGCACAAGGCCTTCACTCCACTCAGGAGGGCCTTACTGCACAGGTTCTTATCATTACTAGAGAGGACAAAGGGGAAAACATGTATTTCTTTACCAGGAAAGTCTATATGGCAGTGTTATCACAAACAACACCAATAAGACCATTACATCACATCTATTTTACAGCAGCCTAATTGAATGCCTGCCCCCTTTCTCTATTAATGTTGTGTCTTTAAATATTGGCATTCAGAGAAATAGGTCAGATGGAAAAAGAAGGTGAAACAATACAATGTGCAAAAAAAAAAGATCTGAACTAAAGCACATTTATTATTCACCAAATACTCTGTCTGCCCCTCTCTTTCTTTCACCCCAACTGGAACTATCTGGCTGGACCCACTCTCAGTCACATGCATGTGCATTATTGCAGAGGACAGAGACTCTGCAGCAGCAGCACTATAGGGCGGGGGGGAGGGGGAACTCACGTGCATAGGATGTGAGCACACTCTGGGTACAGACTCTGGTATTGCAGGCAGCACTGCAGCACCCGATCATCATTATTCTCGGCATTCAGACCATCTGGGGACAAGGAGGTACAATAAGAACAGAGGAAGAGAGAGGAAGAGGAAGACAGAGAGAAACCTGACAGTCTTTAACGGGAGAATTGTTTAATTCACAACACTGAAAGCAGTGTACAAGAGTATTCTTTCAAATAAAGACAAGGAGGAAGATTCAAAGATGAAGAACACAAGATGGAGATTTAAGGTGCATTTCAAGAGAGGCACTAAAAGCTTATAAGCTCCTAAATTCTTAGCAATAGTCAACAATATCTCTTGTAAATCTCCTTTATCCCATGCCTTTTCGAAGAGAATTTCATCCCACCGTTGAAAAATGTATGTCTGATCAATAATATATACAGCTGAGAAGTGGGTGACCTCATGCATGGGTGAAACCTCCCCTTGAGATGCTCACAGCCATAGACTGTATATATCTCACAGCGTATAAATAATTCTGGAGGACAAGCTACGCGATAGTGCCACCTAGTGGTAGACGGGACGCAGGGCAGCTCTGCGGCTGTGTGTGTAAATTAATAATGTACCGTTAAGGTGGAGAATTGCTGTAAATGAAGACCATATGTTCAGTCAAAAGTCATTAAAATCATTGATAACAAAGACTACAAAATAATGCATTTTATTGATTTAGCTTTTCTCAATGAATTAATTAAAAATCAACGACCAGGCTCTAACAGAACTTGTTTATTTAGAAATGTTTACAGTCTACAAGGAGTTGTAGATTATTCTAATGTGCTGCTCTTACTCAAGTGCTTTTGTTTTGCCTGCACTCACTGTTATGATTATTTTGTAACCAATGCTGGCATTTATATTAGCCTGCTTTTTCTAAGATAAAATCCAAAAGTACTCATAATAAATCTGAAATGAGCTCATGAACAGGTTATGGAGACATAGCAACTTTCACACCGACCTTGTAAAGTCCCTACTTGTATGTAATACATTAATTCCACTTTCAATGCACTGATCATTCCCATATCTTCCTTAAATCAGCACTCACTGTTGCTCTCGCTGGCCTGCTGCATAGACTGACCCCACAGGAAAGGTGCCCGGCTCTTCAAGCAGTTGTAAATGTACGAGATGGCAGGAGTAGCGAGGTGGGCCACAGACCCTGACAGGCCCCTCCCCCGTTTGAGGGAGTCCAGCTCCTGAAGCACCACCCAGGGGATCAGGACTATCGGGTAGCCCAGGTCTAAGAGCGCATGAAGGGGAGAAAAGGGAACCAGTGATTAATCAAATGTCATAACAAATGTGCATTTCATTATGAACAGAAGCAAGCTAAAATAAAATGGAAATGGGACTTCATACGTTCTTGGAAACTGTGTTCTGTATTAACACACAGTGGAAAAACACAATTTCTGTGCTATGATGTGATGTTCATTAACCCTAACAAATGACATTGTTATTTAAAATGATGATATGTAAGTAGAAGGTTGAGGACTGAGAAACATGTATTGGTTCTTTCTATTGAAGATGCAAACATATTTTGCTTTGGGACATCTTGTTAGGATGCTTGATAATAGTTCAACGACTGGTGAGGAATATCTTTAGCTTACAACTGGAAACTTGTAAGTGAAATCTAACTCGATAACTTTTATAATAGCATGTTATATCATTATATAAAGCATATGAAATATATCAATTATTCTACAAGACACATCCAGTATTAAAACAATTATAAACACCTCCAAGGCCGTTCATTCTGATCTTTTTGATATAATCCAGGTGACTGAGGAGAATGTTGGTGTCCAAGACAAGGATGAGGTATTGCTGGTTAGGTTGTTTACCTGCAAAAAGGAAATGAAATTTCATGAATAATGACATCTTCAAAAGTTCAGAAGGAATCAAATCATACCAAAACAATTTGAGCAAACGTGTAGCGACTGAAGTTATGTATCAGAATTTTTCTTTATTTTGAAGCAACAGAAATGTTGTGAGGACTTTGTGATGTTATATTCTGATCCATATTCTGTGCAGTTACTCTATAATCCTAAAATGATTGCAAAATATATGTACAACATTTTTTGCATTTCCTTATTAATCAATACAACTCACAGTCTGCACCTCCCTCTTCTGGAGGGTCTATGTCCATACAGGTGAGATCCCCATAGCTTTGCATTACATTCACCTCCAATCTCTTCTGAGAGCGAGCAAGATGAAGCTCTTCGACCACTTGCATCTACAGAAAAACACATTTTTAAAAATAAACAAAACAACTAACATTCTATCTGCCATTTTTAAGCCATTGCAATAACAACACACTGATGGTATTACAATAACCTAGCTGACGGAATGAAAAAAAGGTAGTACGAAAAAGAAAAAAAAACTCCTTATTACCTGGTCATACCACGGCGCTGGGACAGTATGAAACGTATTTGGAAGTTGTTCTGCCAAAGGTGGGCCTTCATCTTGTCCTTCAGATGAAACACTAGGTGTAACATCTGGAGAGACGGGAGCTTGCTGAACAGTTTTCTCCTCAGATTTGCTGCTTGATGCTGCAGTTTCTGGAAGCTCAGGCACAGGTTCAAGACCTTTCTTTGTAGTTTTTGCTTCTTTCTTTTCAACAGTGCTTTCTACTGGAGTTGGTTTAACTTTTTTTGGTATCTTAAATTTAAAAGGCACAAATGGTGGGGCTGCATATACTTGTTCCTGAGAAGATGATGGATTTTGTGACCCCAATGTGACTTTTTTCACCACCTTTGAGCTACTAACAGAGGTAGAGGTAGTGGGCTTGGCTGAAGTGGAGGACTTTGTTGTTGTAGAGGCAGAGGGAGTTTTAACTTCTATCCACATGCTCTTTTTGGCCTTGTTTTCTTCATGCCTATGGCACATCTTCTTGAAGACGTCACTCTTCTGCTCCCACGCAGAATCCTTGGATACGGAGGAATTATTGCTTGGTTCCTTGGTCTTGACAGTTTTGCTGTCATTTTCAGTCCTCGGTGGTTCCTTGGCCCTGCACTTCTTCAGTTCATTCTTCCCCTGTTCTTTCTGTTCAGCACAAACCAAACTGGGACTCATTAGGTGCTTTTTTAATTTGGATGGGGTCCCCTGGGAAGACTTCTCATCCAAGCTGCCTTTAGATGTCTTCTCTGTCCCCTGAGGAACTGCACCTGAAGTATGCAAGTGTTTTGAGGGTCCTGCTTCCTCAGTCTTACTCCCACTGACAGTTTTATTTTTCCGTGAAATGTCATTTTTAGCTTTACTAGATAATTTTCCCCCAAGGTCTGGTGGAGAGGCATGTTTTTGTTTTGTTCTTTCTTCTTCTTTTTTAACAGGTTCCTGGTCTTTTTCTTGTGTTTTTGCCAGCCTGTAGACAGGCTTTTTAATCTGGCGAGTGCTTTGGGGAACATCTTTAACGGAAGGAAAGGCACTTTTTTCCGGTTTTGTTTCAAATCTTGATGTAGAAGAACAGAATAAATGTCACAGTCACATATAATTAACACATATTTAATTCAAGTGAACCGTGTGTTTATTAATAGGCTACATAATATCAATAGTAATATGTTGTTAAAAAAAAAAAAATCTGAATCATACCTCTCCTGATTTTTTAAATCTGGCTTCCCCCTGCTACTTTTGTTATTCTTGGTAAGATCTTGTTTCTTGGATTCCTTAAAAACAACAAAAACAATATTGTTAAAATATGGAAATGGCTTGTCATGGGTAAAACAAAAATAATCTGCTACAATTTTGGTAATTGTCTTATTATTTTTCAATAATTCCAGAATGTTTTTGATGGAATAGCCAAATGATGATTTTTACACATTATGTGATATTGTGAAATGTAATAAGAGGATTTTTTTTCATATTGGCTGTTGAATTCCTTCTTACCTTCTCATCTTCTTCACTTGACGATGACAAGCCCCTCCGCCTTCTTTTTTTTGCCTTTTTTGACATTTTCCTGTGAAATATTGATTTGTAAAAGTTCTTTAGTGACTATGCTTCATGCTTCATCCTAATACAACAATGCATTTTGATCTTCAATAAGGTTCTTCCTTCTTTTGCTCTCAATATAAAAAACCTGGAAATGTGAAATAGCCATTTTTAACTAATGCAGAATGAGACTTTTTCTAAAGTGTGATTAAGAAAGTAAAATGGAAATATCCCCTAAATCTTACAATCTATGTCTTGAGCTGTGAATAATAATTATTGTATTGCCGCCATTATCTTATAATTAATACGCTGCTACTTATTTGTACTGCTTTATTCTAGAACATGTAGGCTACATCTAAAAAATGTAATACCCTAATGTTCCTCATCGATAAGATATACTTTATTGATCCCAAATTTGGAAATGTTTTCGTTATAGAAGCATAACAAACAAGGGCATTGCACATAATTAGAAATTAAAGAGTAGAAAATAAACAATTATAAAATAGAAACATTTAAAAAATAGAAGTAGAAAATATACAACTTGAAAGTGAAGATACAAATCTGTAAATTATCTGACAGATAACACTTTTTTTCTGACAGTATTACGTGAACAATTACATAATGATTAATCGATTGTCAAAATTAGCGATTATTTTCCGGTCAATCTAATAATCGATAAATGCAGCGTCTACGACTGCAAATTATTAAATCGATAGTGTTCAAAACTCCCAACAAGTTGTTAACTACATGAGGACTACATGAGGACCAAACTGGGGGCACTGTGTAATGACACAAACATAAACAAATCCACATTGAAGTAATGTCTAAAGTAAAAACAATAGAATACGTGTTGTTCTGACCTTTAGATACACAACACAAATCCAAAGATAAACCTTTAGCTAACTTTAACAGACGCTAGCTGAGGAAAATAGCATCAACACCGCTACAGTACAGCTAGCTTAATGTTGTAATGCTGTCAGAAGTGTTCGCGTACAGTATTTCAGTGGTTAAAAAATACTCATAGTAAGAATAATGTATAATTTACAGCAGAGAGAGTTAACCTACCCAAATACCAGCCGATTTCCAAAACATCCGCCGCTGTTCCGCCTCTTCGACGGTTTCTCTTCCTGGTCGCGCCATTACCGCCCCACACTGGACCGGAGTGGATTTTGTTCTTGAGATAAATGATGTATTGTACCTTTAGGAGAGGAAGAGATACACAATAGGCAAATGAAGCCATTTCAACGGAAAGATAAAGGCAGCCCTGCATGGTGGGAGTAGGACAGCACAAGGTCAGACTGGAGTCAGTATCTGTCTGTGTTATTCTGAACAACTTGCACAAATACATTCTTTCGCCAAAGTTACAAAACAATCTGTAGGGCTGTGCAGCAGACAGTGGGAAGGATAGCAACTCAGGTGACAGCTGTGTCAAAAAGAATGTCGAGGTTACAAAAGAAAACATTTAATAAAATAGGAGATTAGTAACACAGTCTGCATATAAACATTCCAGCATAAGTGATAAGGTGGAAATTCTGTGGGTATCTCATAGTGGAAATGTACTGTGGGTTGTGTTAGCTAAATTAATGTAATGTAATTATAAAAACATAGTTTTTTCGAGGATTTTTTGTATGAGTTGAATGTCTTATGTCTTGAATGTCACATTAAGTCCTCACAATAATATATTCTGTAAAGCGACTGTGCTGCAGGGCTATTTCATTAGCACAGGAAGTAACAAGACCACATGGTCAATATGGAGGTAGTTAAAGGTAGGGTAGGTAAGTTTGAGAAACCGGCTCGAGATACACTTTTTGTTATATTCCATGGAATGCTCTTAACATCCCGATAGCAATGAATATCTTAAGTGCTTTGACAAAAAATCCATAAAAAAATTTCATCTGTGGAAGCCGGCCCGGCTAAAATAACTGGATGGCCTACCTGCTTGTCAGCCTTCCATCTGTGCACAAACTTATCTCGTGCCCTCATTGGTCATGTGCATGTTCGTGTGTGTTGGAGGAGGGGCTCTATAATTAGACCCTCCAGAAAAACGCGGGCTAAAATCCTTGATTATGCGGGCTAAAATCCTTGATTATGCGATTAAACATGCGGGGTTTTTATGTGATTTTATGCGGTGAAGTTGCGAAATATGCGAGAAGTTGCGAAATATGCGGGAGTCGGAAAAAAGGTGATTCTTCTCCCACACCCTGTTACTAGGCTACTACTGAATGAAAGTGAGCCCTTTTAAAGAGTTCCTATGATAAACAAGCATACTAGAAGCAAGCTACATCACAAAGTGTTATTTATGTATTTATATATGGGCTATTTTAATCACTCTCTCTCACACACACACACACACTCTTCTCCGCCTCATTCTGTTTTCATTTACTCGTTCGTTATCTGACCAGCTTCAATCTTGTAGGCTACTCACCTCGTTTCTTGTAGCCCTCGAAAAGGGTTTTGGAGGTTGATGCCTCGGTGAACGCGAGTTGTTTGGCTTTCTTGTCCGCAGCAGCAGAAAGCATTTTCGAATGTTTGAATGAATCAAAGTGGGTCGTCACTGTCGATTTTTCTTATGCTCCAACACACAGTTGCACGGGGTGCAGAATAGTTTCCCCCCACTTTCGGGCAAGACATCGGCGTACTGCTTTGCCCGGTCTTTAGCAGAAATGTTCGTAGGCAAATGAGATGGATTCGATTTGTTCATCTTGGTCAGAGCCGTATAATAGTATAATAGTATATAATAATAATAATAGTATATAATAATCTATATGGCGCTGATCTTGTTGTTTTCTCTCTCGTGTGAGTTCCACACATTCACTCTACGGTGTTGTTTACCTGCGCGAGCTGATGACATCACTACTTCACGTTAACTTTTTCTTCCCTCAATTTTGTGTGGAAAAATGCGGGGATTATGCGTCCTTTTAAAAATCTGCGCCATTTTGCTGATTATGCGATAAATTATGCGATCGCATAATCGCGTTTTTCTGGAGGGTCTATATAATGCTGCGTTCACACCGGACGCGATGCGATGTTTGGGGGCGGCGCGATTACATGTAAAGTCAATGCAGAGACGCGGACAGACGTGAATTCGCTCCGACGGCGCACATGAAGCGGTGGACGCGGCGCGAATCACGCGATTGAGGCGATTGAACGGTGCCGCGTTAAACGCGAGAGTTCAATTTTTTCAACTCTAGCGTCAAATTCACGTGACGCGTTCTCGCGGAAGCCAATCAGCGGTGAGGATCTCAGCCTGCCGTCACTGACGTTCAACCACACAACATCAGCCGTTAGCTGTTAGCAGTTAGCACACAGAGCTCACAGCTCCTGATATCTGTTCAGAAACTGGACAAAAGTTAAACAAGTACAAACCACAGACTGTCTGTGTCATGGCGAATACAGTCACTGCTTTATTTATGTCTGTAGGCCGTTGTTGTGAGTGTGGACGGAGCATATACAACGTTAGCTTAGCCTGGTCGACCCGATCTTCATTCAGAAAACAAGCATTTAAAAAGATTTTTCGCCTGCCGTCTTGTCTGCAGACTTGTCAAGCATTCATTCATGGTTTTTACTAACCGGTATCAGTATGTTGTTACTTCGGCATCATTTAGAAACGTGTATTACAATTTAATCACGGTAAAATATGTTCATTTTGTTGTAGTTGTAGCTCCCGAGCCAGCTCGTCTTGTTTGAATGATGCGAGTGAACACAGCTGGCAGCCGCGGTGAAACTCCAGCGTTTAGAGCGATGCGATAGGAGCGATTAGAGCGAAGCGAATATTCGCATCGCGTCCGGTGTGAACGCAGCATAAGGAAGTGGCAGATTTTCTCCGGTTGTGTATTTTCAAATTCTAGCGATCTCGAGCCGGTTTCTCAAACTTACCTACCCCACCTTTAAAATGTGACTGTGAACCAAATAATGTTGCAAACAAATATGTTTATTTTCAATAATGTATACACTGTTTTTCAAAAGCTAAATAAAAGAGAATATTATCATAATGCAATGCCAAGTGTTGGTTAACTATAATAAACAAAAACTGATGTGTTTCATTTCAAACAGCAATTGCTGTGATGTACCACAAAGTGACAGTGTAGCTCCATTCAGAACCAGCCTTCCTCACTTTGCTCCTGACGAACACTGACTGCCCTGAGCATTCACAATGAGTCACCTATGGGTCCCTGGACCATGGTTTGAGAAACATTTATATTGAAGACTTAAAAGGTGACAGAGATCAGACGACTAACAGATGAGCGGTGAGTAGTACCAGCTGCAGGGAATAATCTCTGACCACTTCAATAATGTTGGACAGGAATAATAACAACATGTAGGAGTTGTGACAGACACAGTTCAATGGATTGGGATTCAGTAGATGACACAGTGTGGATTTGATCAGTGACATGTTAAATACATAGAGATCATATTTGAAAATTGGAAACAGCTTCTTTGTTTTGTAGTTCATAGAGACGGTTAATTCGGCTGGGTTTAGTTGTGATAAAAATGTGTTTATGTGGTACGTTGAGATCCAGAAGTCAGATTTCCAACAGACCGATTAATAAGATTCAATCATCAGAGGGCTATCATGTAGCACAATAGCTTCCCCTTCGACATGAATCAACAAAATTATCCTTGTGTTATTGTTAGAGAATTAGACTGGACAGTACAACCCTATCACTTCCCACACAAAACTGATTTACACACACTCTGAGTTTAAAGGCACGGACACACCAAGCCGATTATCGGCATCGGTGGGCGTCAGGCCGACGATGAGCGTTGACATGCCCTACTCGGATTGGTGTGTCCCGCACCGTCGGGTCTTTTCAGCCGTGCCGACGCCTTTTCGGCCGGAAACCCGCCGATTCAACATGTCGGCAGTCGGCCAAAGGCACTCGGCGAAATAAATCACTCTGATTGGCTGTTCAGCTAGCGAATCAGTGCATGAGAAGCGAAACGGAAGTGAGGGACCCAAACAAACTATTAAGAAGGCAAATCTGAGATTTCATTTAACTCCAGCTCTCGACACAGGTTCGGGAAAGCCCCATGAGCTTCTCGCTGTAGAGTGAAAATGGAACGCACACGCTATTTGTTGTTTGTTTATATCACGCAGTCTGTTCTTCTTCTCTCGGTGTATCACGCAGTCTGTCTTCCGGTTGTTGCCTCTTTTGAATGACGAATACACAATACCGCCGCCTACTGGTAAGGAGAGTTATTGCCACTCACGCATGCGCAGTTCGTACGTGCTTATTGGCCGTCGGCTGAAGTCTTTGCGGTGTGTTCCAGTGCGACACATGGCCAAGACGCAGAGACGCGAGGCGACGCGACAGTCGGGTCCGTCAGGACGTGTTCTTTGGTGTCAGTTTGGTGTGTCTGGGCCTTAAGGTGCTTACACACCAAGCCGATTTCGGCCGTCGATAGATGTCGATAGATGTCTGGCCGTCGATGAGCGTCCTGTCGCCCTGCTCAGATTGGTGTGTCCCGCCCCGTCGGGTCTTTTCGGCCGTGCCGACACCTTCCGCTGCCGATTCAACATGTTGAATCGGTAAGCTGTCGGTAAAAGGCCGACAGCTAAAGAAATCCCTCTGATTGGCTGTTCAGCTTAGCGAACCAGTGCATGAGAAGCAAAACGGAAGTGAGGGACCCAAACAAACTATTAAGAAGGCAAATCTGAGATTTAATTTAACTCCAGCTCTCGACACAGGTTCGGGAAAGCCCCATGAGCTTCTCGCTGTAGAGTGAAAATGGAACGCACACGCTATTTGTTGTTTGTTTATATAACGCAGTCTGTTCTTCTCTCGGTGTATCACACAGTCTGTCTTCCGGTTGTTGCCTCTTTTGAATGACGAATACACACATTGCCACTCACGCATGCGCAGTTCGTACGTGCTACTTGGCCGTTGGCTGAAGTCTTTGCGGTGTGTTCCAGTGCGACTGTTGGCCAAGACGCAGGAGACGTGAGGCGACGCAACAGTCGTGTTCCGTCGGGACGTGTTCTTTGGTGTCAGTTTGGTGTGTAGGCCCCTTTAAACTGTCCTTACCCCACATGCATCCTTTATTCAGCAAAAACTCAGTTACAGGGAACATTTATAAAGCAACACCATGGAAAATTCAACTAAACCGCTGTCTCCTCCTTAGATGTAACAAGATTTTTATTACAAATCCGTTTTTATTTTTCAGTCTGCATGCAACTGTCAATCGTCGTTGAAAACATTGATAGTTAATCATATTCATTTTTTATGGCCCACAACATGATGAGGAATAAACTTTATGAAAGCTCCTACATCATCACTTTCAACTTCTTCTTGGCTCTACAAGATAATAAATAAAGATACATTTTAAATATATCCTTGATAATTACACAAGGTCAATGTGTACTAATGATTACCCGAACTCCAGATTTGTTTTTGTAGACAAGTCATTTTAACCCCCGAAATTCCTTGAAGCACCAAAGTCGGTCATCAATGAATGCTCTAGCCTTGATTACTTAGCCTGATACTCGGACTGAGTACACTCGTTTTCAAAACACATTTACATCAATATCTAAATCTAGATTGCTAGCAATATAAATGTACAAAATCTGGGTGAAAAGTCTGTTAGAAAAAAAGTTATAGAATAAGCATGTTGGTGTTCAGTCACCTTCTAGATCAGGGAGGTCAAACTAAAATACACAGTGGGCCAAAATAAAAAAATGGGTACTAGTCGAGGGCCGGACTGGTTCAATGTTTATTGCAAAACGTATTGAAATTAACTTATTGCACATATTAAACCTGGAACTAACAAAGCTTAAATTATTGCCTATAAAAACAACATTAAACATTAAATAATCAGTAGCATTAATTTCTTATGGCTCTATCTGCAGCTTTTCCGGAGTCATTTCTTATGATTACATTTTCCCACAGGCCAACAACAGCTTCAAAAAAACACTTTCCCTCAAAGAAAAACCCAAACATGCCCTGTTGTTGTGAGAGAAAAAGTGCAAAAGGAAACATCCATTGAAACTCAGTTTGCTGCTCTGTGATGCTAGTTTAAGCCAGATACTTGGCATCTCATCCTGGGTGCAAGTTCATCAATGTTTGGGGTCAGGCTCTGAGCTGAGGAAACCCTCAGGATTGAGTGAAGGTGTGCGTGCAATATACCGGCGGGTCAGTTCTAATAGTGATTAGAAATTATCCTGCGGGCCGAAATTAAATCCACCAAGGGCCTGATTTGGCCCCCGGGCCTTGAGTTTGACACATGTGTTCTCGATGATCTATGCTTGGTTAAGAGCTACGATTCTGACACATCTATGTTCTTCAATGTTTCTTTCTTTCTTTCTTTCTATCTTTTTTCTTTCTTTCTTTCTTTCGTTCTTTCTTTCTTTCTTTCTGTCTCTAAGTCCTCTCTGTCTGTTTACCCCTCTTCATAATTTTCTCTCTCTCTCTTTTCATGAGTTTCAAAGACATTTGGCTTTAATCAACAAGCAGATTTGAACAGACGGTGAATGCTTTTGTCGTGTGTGTGTGTGTGTGTGTGTGTGTGTGTGTGTGTGTGTGTGTGTGTGCGTGTGTGTGTGTGTGTGTGTGTGTGTGTGTGTGTGTGTGTGTGTGTGTGTGTGTGTGTGTCTGTGAAGTTTGAGTATGTGTTGGGGAGGGTCTTTGCTCCCCTAATGGTTTATTTAGAAACCTGAGTGGGGTGTTTTGTGAAAATATGAAAATATTTTTCTGGTCATTTAAATAATGGGCATAGGGCAACTGTTTGTATATCAACTGTGTGCGTGCGTGTGTGTGTGTGTGTGTGTGTGTGTGTGTGTGTGTGTGTGTGTGTGTGTGTGTGTGTGTGTGTGTGTGTGTGTGTGTGTGTGTGTGTGTGTGTGTGTGTGTGTAATAATTGATTCCATGCTTTCTGATTTAAGGACTGCCTTGGTTCTCTGAGGTCAGGTGTGCATGCTTCTGAACACAATGACTACACGTTGGCTTCACAGCACATTACTTATTCACATGTGGTCTCTCTTTCTAACTTTATATTTGTCTCTTTGGTGATGCAGTTTTGAGGTCTTGTTATAGTCGTAGGACTGTCTAGACCAGTGGATCTCAAGCTGATGGTTTGGAAAAGTATTTGGTAACTTAAAACTCATGTCTACGGAGTGAAAGCCGATGGGGGGTCGTAAGTAAATATCAGTAGCCAATACTTTAATGCTGTCATTTAGTAAAAAATGATGTTTATCAGCAACTTTTTTGAAGGATGATTATTTTTGTTGTAGCCATTTTATTTCCAAACATTTGCTAATTTAGACTTCTCAAATGTCAGAATTTGATTCTTCTCTTTGTCTTATAGTAAACTACAATACATATATTTGGGTTTTGACCTCTTGGTTCAATTAAAGAAGCTCTTTAGAAGCTCTCTTCTAAAAAAGATTGACCAAACTTAAGTATTCAGAAAATGATTTGATAGTGACAATAATGATTAGAAAGCCACACTAATATCTTAGTTTTAAGGGTTAACAAGACAGAATGGTTATTAATCACTGTTCTTGACTATAATTCAACCTGCAGAAGGATGTCCTTTCAATACGAGGAAATAATCAAGTCAAGTTTCCACTACTGGGCCAAAAAACAATACTGCCAATACTAAATATTTATACGTTTCCATTTCCCCTAAATCAAAACGAAGGTGCTGCTTTCTCCATCTCATGCCAACAGGGATGACTCTTCTGCTGGTTTAAAGTTTCATGTAAACAAATAGTGCTTTCAACCATGTGTCCTAATCATCGCTTTGGCCCTGGATCTAATAAAGCCCACCTGGATCTACAATCGCTGTTGAGAAGTGGTGACTAACACACTGACTGGCTCTGGGACAGACCACCACCTAAACACATTTTTCAGGTCTCTTTGCCATTAATAAATACTCTTTTATTAGTCTGCTCTAATAATCACCAGGGATCATTATTGTACTTTAGAAGGACATTTGTTTATTAGAAAGGCAATGCATATATGTTTAAAGGCCCAGAACAAGAGAAATTACTTTAGATGCTGAAGGTAAATGAAGAGGTGATAATAATTAAGATGTGGCTAATAAAGATCAACATGATGATGATGATGATGATGATGATGATACCAGGACTGTGAAACTGAAGCAGCTAAATGAAATTCAACCACATTTTTTATTACACCTGTGCTTTTCACATTATGACATGCTAAAAAAAGGTCTATACATCTTAGCAGTATCTTAGCCTGTTGCATAAGCACCTTCGATAATAATGACCATGATGAAGCTTACAGTGATGACAATGTTATGGCAGAAGATTCCGGTATGCTGGATAATGATGATGTGCACAGGTACACCGGGAGTGATGATTGAGTATGAGTGTGGGAGAGTTGGATGAAGATGTGAACTTGTGATAGGAGAGATAGTTGTGACGATAACAATGAAGATACTTAAAAATAAAAATCGCAGAGGACGAGCACCCTTTGGGGATAATGAATTTGAAAACCATGATTACATCTCCGCGTGACTGCACTTCACCGGTGGCGGTGGTGGGAGTGTCCGCGAGGAGGGTAGAGCCGCTTCACTCATTGCTCGCGCGCAGACAGGAGCAGCGCTTACATGTTTTCATTCTGAACTTAAAGGGTCGCAAGAGCAGTGCGTTGACGAGCCGGAAACGAGGAAGAAAGGTCTGCCGTTTAATTTGCGCGTCCCTTTATTTTGTCTTCTTGTATTGCCGCACGGTGTAATGTCTGTGTGTCGGGCCGCTTTGGTACTCCTCTGCTCGGTGTTGGCGGTGACTCTTGCCCGCAGGAGTTCACCGGAGCAGGAGGATGTTCAGGAGAAAATCAACAGCGCCAGATGCACCTCCAGGTGCCTCTCTCTGCACATGACGCAGCTCACCGTTGCCTTCAGACACCTACAGGTACTTACAGACACTTTTACTCTGTTTACCAACCTTGAAGTAGAATAACACCTGTAGTCAGTAGCAAACATCACCACCAAAATAATAAGTAATGGTCAACAAAAAAAAAGACAGACAGCCATGAGTGAGGATTTGTTGCTATATTTTCCACTTAATCTCCAGTCTAATCCTATTAGGCTGATACTTTAACATGTGCATACTCCTCAAATTTAACCAATCTGGCTGCACAGTTTAAGACAGTTTTACCCTATACCCTATAAAGGTGCATTACTGGTATTTTCTGTATTTTTGTATGACAGTTGCAGTCAATTTGTGTTGTTGCAACATGCTGTATACTGCAGCTCCATCAGGCTCATGCATATAGTTCAGTAAGATGCATTAAGATGAGTAACCCATCTCCTTTATCTATTTAATAGAGGGATATGTAAGGGGGATTTAACAGAAGTTGGGAAAGGTATTCATCTTGAATCATTCAGGTGCAGTCAAATTGAGAGGCTCAATAGATCAGGTTAACAAATGTATTGTTATCCACTGTACAGTTTAATAGCTGCTCTCAATTATTCATACCACAGACATTAGCATTAACTTTTAATTGTCTCATGAACCGTTATTCAAACATCATATAAATAATTATATTTATCTGGCCTCACAAAGACATCCTTAACCACCATTCATAGATTCAATTGGTTGTACTTAGTTGTACAGCTGTCAGGAAAGGTATTGCTTGCTGTAGAAATATTCAAAGTCATCAATTTTGTGGCAATCATCAAAATCTTAAAAAAAACCTACGCCCTTGTCTTCTTTTGTATTTGTCTTTAGAGAAACAATGGCCACTCTGCTACATTGTTCAGATATTTTAGATCAGCTAGAAGGTTTTGTTACGCACAACCAAATAAGCACAGTGCAGCATTTACTGCCTAAATAGTTAATCAGAATAAACTATGTGATCCCACCTTAAACTGAGTGAGTTGTTTCTAACATGGTTCTCATCAGGAAGGTTTGATGTTGCCCAGTTTCGGTACTCAAAAAATTAGGTTACAGGTTCATAATAGTTGACAAAATTACTCATCTCAGTGAGACCGCTGGACCATGTTCAGTGGCCTTTGCAGTGAGGAATGTGAGATTAACGGGGACATTAGGACGTTACCAAGATCGAAAAGCCACTTATCGTTAACAGCTTCAACATGTGCTCGCTGTGTAGTGGGTGGGAAAGTCATTAACCACAGAGTTCAGCCCCAGTGGCTCTGATGTGTGTAGGACAAAGTGTGTGTATTCATGAGTCTGTGTGTGTGTGGGTTTGCATTTGTTCATATATAAAACAAAGTTTTGGTCTGGTCCTGGTCCATCCAGAATAGACTCCTGACACCTGTGCATTGGGTAATGAGGGTGGCCCCTGGGTGACACTCTTGCAGTGTGTATGTGTGTGTGGGGTTTCTGGAATGGAGGTGTGAGTAAGGGAACATTTGGTTTAAGCTTTATTAAGTGGAGTGCAGTAGTCAGATGTTAAGCATCAAACAGCAGCGATGCAACTGACCGGGAGGCAGCAAACTGTGCAGAGCTTCATTTTCTACTTTGTTTTAAAAAGTGAACACAATCCTAACCCTAACTCTTACAACAACTCTTTTATCTCTGTGTGACTTTTGCTTTCTGTAAAACTTTTGGCATATGTTGACACTTCAAAGAATTTCTGCCTTTGTACCATGATATCTTCAAAGTCATCTCGTGTCATTTTTCCTAAGATTTAAAAAAATGAAATCACGAAAATATTTATTTCCATTCAGACAAGTCTACACTCGCACTATATAAATTCAATTTGAACACACAGGAAAGGACACTGTTGTGACTCAGAAACTCATCTGAAGATATAAAGGGGCACTGAAAATGATGCGTGTTTTACCAAATTGAAAAGAGCCTTTAAACTTTAAGCAAACAAGGAAACAAGTTTCCTCTCAGCCACATCCTGGGTAAGAGCATCACTCCCTGAACCTATTATAGGACAGTGGAGCAGAACACAGAGAGATGAATGGGCTAGAGAGACTCTGTGATAGAGTGTTCATTTATTTAAAGAACATAACGTTTAAAAAAAAAAAAATCCCTTTTGATAACAGCTCCAGTAACTATAACATCATTGATGGCAAATGGAGCTTTACTCATCCTACCTCACCACACTCAGACACAAAGACACAAACACACACATTGCTTCCTCTGGCTTCATGTGGGTGAACCCTGTGTTTTTGGCTTCTCTCTTAGTGTGTGTGGCTGGTGTGTAGCCACTAAAATGTGAGTCACCAGTTTTCTATTTACACCTCGCTTTCTGCTTCTTCTCTCGGTTTTCCACTACTTTCCCTTGTATGGTGTAATATTGTAATTATAGCTTGAGTGAGTATATATCTGCTTGTATGTTGTCATATTCCCAAACTCCTCCTTGATGTAAACTCCTAAAAATAAGAAAAAACTGTGAAGCCTCGCCTGCAGAGCTGGATCTTTTTGCGCATACGTAGTAGATGAGATTAGACTGCGTGTCTCGAACACTCACAGGTCTGTGGTGCTGATGAGCCGATGGTTAGCGGTTCGAGCCAGGGCTGAGGGCCAGTGCGAGGCTGAATGAGCTGCCTGTGCATTCATGTTTATGTGTGTGTGTGTGTGCCAGTGTGTGTCCCAGCTGCTCTGCGGTAGGTAAGTCTCATCAGCCCAGAGGTCGGTCAGCCAACCAGTCACGCTCTGAAAAAGTCCAAAGACAACGGCCGGGTCAGGTTGCACAGAGATAGGGAGATAAAGGCAGGTATAGTGGTCAAGCAGGAAGACAGACAGATGGAGATGGAAGGACAGATGGACAAAGACAGGTGTAACAAACACACATGAAGACAGACAACCTGACAAACTAATACACTGGCTTAAAAGTGGACTGACATGCAGGCAGACAGGTGAGCAGAGAGACAGGCAGAGGGCTGGGTGACGGCACGAGACAAAGGCTTGTTTGACTCACCTGAAAGATAAAGCAGATACCTCCTTCTGCGGCTTTGTGACTGTCCTGACATTTGATCGGCAGAACCAGGAATGGATGGTGATACAATTGTGGCAGCGTAGGAGTGACTCTCACCTGAAACCAGGACAAGAAATTCCAAGACACTAAATCACAGCTGGAATGAAACAACTTTAGACCGCATCGCTTTGTTCTATCAGCTCGAGAGATAATATATATCTAGAACCGACGGCATATTATATCTGATACTTGAGCAATTAAATCAATTCTTCTTCCAACCTTCAGACCATGAATATGAAGCATGCCGCCAGCAGTCGGCTTATCCTAGCTTAGCACAAACACTAGAAACAGGTAGAAATGTCACCTTCCTGAAAAGACGGTCTCAGTTTTACAGACTGTTCTGCTAGAATGTATTTGTCACAACCAATCATTGTGTTAAGCTTATAAAGTGTTTTTCTTTCTGAGCGCCAGCATCTGGTTTTCAATTGGTCCCAATAAGGAGATAGTGTATCAGGACGATGCGTCTGCCTAGAGATGGAGTACGGTGCACATCCTTTTTACAAATGTTCCGACTTTTCTGTGCTCAGAGCACTTCTGGTTCAAACTTTTCAGAAAGGGGACTGTCACTCCTTTTCAGGCACACCTCCATTTGGTGTCCATCTAATAGATAGTAGCCCAAATAGATAGACCAATCTAAGGGATTATGCTAGTCCATCATACAATGGTGCTTAGAGTGGTGAGATGTTGTCGAAATAAAACAATGCACTTATTTATTGTGTGTTGGGACAAAGCCCTCCCAGGTGGCCTGCAGGTGCTTTTCTGCAGTAGTTCGTATTGAACTAAGCTTACAGATAAGTGAGTGCTATCAATCTTACGTGTATTTCCTTAAATGTTGCACTTTTCTTTTAATTTTTTGGTCATTTAAGGTATTTTGTTTATCAAGTTTTAGCATTGCTGCTGTTGTAAGTGAACCGAAACAGAAAGACGGATGTTGACGTAATTGTCGGATGGGGAAAAGTTCAGGAACGTATAACAACCACTTTGTTGTGACTCTTGTTGTTTACAGGATGTGGGGCACCACAAACACTAACGTTGACACATGCGCACAGATGCACACGCACGGGTGCACGCACGTTACTTAATTAGGGGCTTCTGTTGGGAATTTTCGGACCTCAAAATTGGCTTTTTGGAAGAACTTCAGATTCTGTTGAGTAAAAGTTAGTCATGATTCAAATTTGACCACACACACCCCCACAACAACACGTACCCACAACAAACACACCGTAACTGCTCCTGGGTCATCTGGGTGTGATTAGGAGAGTTAATGCCTCGTGTTAAATAGACTTTCTACTGCGCCTCACCGCAAACACTGACCACAACGAACACACACACATAATATGTCCACACACTCTCTGCCTCTGTCTCTTGCTCACACACACACACACGCACACGCACACACACGCACACACACACACACACACACACACACACACACACACACACACACACACACACACACACTCAGTTTTATCGCTGCATCTGGCAGAAGTGTGATTTATATCTCACTCTTTTTCAAACACTGAAGGGTGTGTGCAGCTGTGTGTGTGCATGTTGATATGCACGTGTGTGTGTGTGTGTGTGTATCTGTTCCAACCTCTTTCCCTCTGTTGCATCCAGTAATATCAGGTTGTTATTCTTTAACAGTGATGACTGGACTCAGCAGTCATCAGAGCCATGTGGAAGTCCTTTAGTGTTTCTCGGTCCGCGGGTCACTTCTGGTTCTGACGGGCCTCAGGCTCTGACAAATGTATTTTGCCGATCCCAGGATAGAAAGTACGTTGTGTTTTTAGTGTTGAAATCAAATCCAGCCATGTGGAAAAACACCGTTAAAATGAAATGGGAATTTTGCACCTTTTGGTCCAAGATATAAATCATCAACTGGGATATTTTTCAAGTTATCATATGAGCAATAGTGCTATTTGGAACATGAACTTTAAAAACGTTTTGGACTAAACCCTTTTTTTGAACTCTTTATTTCGTTTTTTAAGACTTTAGAATAAATAAATATATAATATTTCCTAATAAATACATCAAATACAACTTCATTCATAGAAGAAGTAGTGCAACAATAACATTTTAAATGCTCTTCCACTCTGGATAAAAGTACACTTGAAAAAATGTGCTTCCCATTTATTAAATAACCCAAGCCAGACGAATGGCAGTCAACTTAATTTATTGTGTCCTGTTTCACAACTAATATCCTCCACTCCTTTCCAGTCTCCTCTCTGCTCCTATTAACTAATATGTATTTCCATCCTTCGCCTTCTGTTGTCTGTCTCCCTCTGCTCTTTTCAACTCCCTCCCTCCCTCCCATTTCCTCTCAGCCTCCCATCCAACTTATTTCTCTTCTTCCAGTCACCTTCTTCCAATTCTCTCTTTCTCTACCACACTTTTTTCACATGTGCAGCTGTTTTGCCGCAGACAGACAGACACACACGCACTCTGAGACCCTACGAAACCCCAGTCTGACCACCGTTTAATAGCCATACGGCACACAGGCCCATCTAAACTGCCTTGATTGGCTCTGACAGCAAATATGTCCCATGAAATTGCATTGGGATCAGTTTGTGTGTGTACTGATGTATGTGTTGCAGAAGGATCTGGAGAGGAGTGACAGAAAAGGAAAGAGAGCGTGAAAAAGATTAAGATAGGGGATGAAGATGTGAGGCCATCGGCGGGGAAAGCAGCTTTATATCTCATCAGTCCAAATCTGGAGATGTTTAACTGTCCTCAGATCTTTCCTCTTGGAGCATCTACAGCATATCATCACCTTTATTCTCAAGTCTTCTCCTGTCACTTTTACACAAGCTGGCAGCAGCGTGGCGGGACTGAGAGGAAGAGATGAAGGGTACAAATGAGAGACACAAAGAACGACAAAGTGCATTTGTGTTTCTGTTTTTTCGACACAAAAAAAACCAAACAGACGGTTTAATCAGCAACAATTACCATTTTTCAGTTTTATTACGGCCACAGCATGTGTATAATCTTAAACTCCCACTCCCTCGAAGCTTTTTAAAATATTTTCATCATTTTGTTGTCACTGCAACAGTCAAGAACATACTGTATATGTATTTTTTTAAGGCTCTACTTACAGCACCCTGAATAAAGCAGAATGTAATGCATTTTTAAGAATATTTCACCCCTACACTTATTTGTCTCTCATCGTTCGTATAAAATGTAACCAGCCCAGGTACGTTCATTTTGCAACTTTAGAAAGACATTGTGGTTAATTTGGGGAATGTGTAACAGAAGCCAGAGTAGTAAAAGCTGTAAATGATATCAATCCATCAGAAGGAAATTCCTGAACATCACAAACTGATACTGAAAGAGGATCTGAGGATGGAATTTTCCTCTCTGCTGCACCCCCAGTGTCCCAATTCTATGGCACTAACGCAACTTAAGGCTACCCTGTGGAGTTTCTGACCACGATGAGAAATGTTCTTATAGAGGATTCCTGTTTTGTTTGTTCGCACAAACACATTCCTAACAAGGTTTTTCCCATTATTCCACCGTTTAACAGGTGTGTGGTTGGAGACTGCCAGAAAGTAAACATGGATGCAAACATTGCAGGTTTAAAATGGTATTAAACATTGGGATTCGAGATATTACGAAATAATAAATTCAAAATTGTCTTTAAAATCTTTTGACTCTTAGAATATCCAACAAAGCATGTAATCCCTTTTAAGCCTGTTTCTGTCGTATAGACGGATTTATAGTAATGTTCTTGAATGGCAACAAAAAGGTAGTCTGGATACGCTTCCAACAGATCCAGAATACCTAAATACACTTTGCATTGTGGACATTTCATAAAAATGTTCCGTAGACTTCCTCACAGTAGGTCCTCAGCAATACACCCACTATGTGCAAAGTCAATCGGATGAACTTTTGTTGGGAAAATAGAATGCAGACATACAGACAGAGATTCCTTCCATTTTATTTATAATGGAGGGATCTTAAACAATCCAAGCATAGATTATTGAGGTTATTCAAAGTTTGGAGAGAGTTAAGAATGTTGATAATGTGTAATCAGAAGGTGCTTTGAAGACAGGAGGGAAGAAAGAAAAGGTGGGCAGAGGAAGGAATTGTTTTGTCACTGTAGTGATAGATGACAGCTGTTCCTCTGTTTCTCTTTTCATCTATTCCTCTTTACATCTATCCTTCCCCACTGACTTGTTACTAATTTATCCATCAGAGATTTTACCTTTGCTTTTAAACTCTCTCCTCTCACTGTCTCTACATTAGGCATTATTCCCTCCAACAACTAGCACAGATTACTGTTAAGCCCATGGTGTCTGAACACCCTATTAATACACATTTAGTCTTGAAGGCATACTAGCACGGGCAAGCCAAACACTTGTCCGGCAACCATATGACGGATGCAATTTCTGTTAAACTCTTGACTGAAATTGTTGTAGTCGTGGTTCCAAACTGGATCCTGATTTTGGTTGCACGGCTGTTGTGTCCTCTCTGAAAACTAACCACCTCTTCACTGTTGCCAACAGCTGGACAACCGAGGCAATAGTAAGCAGCTGTAGCACAGTGGAAAGGGTGAGAGAATGAGAGGAATGAGGCAAACAACATTTGTGGAGAACTTGGAGCTCTGACCATTTTCACACTTGTGCTTAATGGTTGGTTTCAGCTGAAAACAGGCGTGACTGACAACAACTGTGGGAGGCAGCCCTCCCAATCTCACAGTCAAATATAAGCTTTTAAATATACTATCTATCCAGCACTTCTTTAAAGGTTTGTCATGGTCTTAAACGTGCTCCTACTCCAGTAAAGATCCTCCGCTGTTCTAGTGACAGCAATTTCTTAAAGCTTCTACATGCAGCGTTCCCCAGGGCTTATTTTAAGGGGAATAAGTCTTCATCTACGTATATCAAAGTATAATTTTGCTTCTTTGGAAGCTATTTAACTAAATTACTATGCATCTGTTTTGAATGTTAAGAGTGAATGAGCCAATTTAGCATTTTCTGTACCGTGAAAGCCCTTAACCCCTAATCTCTAACCTTCAACCTCTGCACTGTTACCCCAACTCTAACCCCTTAACCCAGAAACACAAAGGTTACTTAAAAGGTGTGTGTGTGTGTGTGTGTGTGTGTGTGTGTGTGTGTGTGTGTGTGTGTGTGTGTGTGTGTGTGTGTGTGTGTGTGTGTGTGTGTGTGTGTGTGTGTGTGTGTGTGTGTGTGTGTGTGTGTGTGTGTGTGTGTGTGTGTGTGTGTGTGTGTGTGTGTGTGTGTGTGTGTGTGTGTGTGTGTGTGTGTGTGTGTGTGTGTGTGTGTGTGTGTGTGTGTGTGTGTGTGTGTGTGTGTGTGTGTGTGTGTGTGTGTGTGTGTGTGTGTGTGTGTGTGTGTGTCAGGCTAAAAACAGTGCGATCAGGAAAGGGTTTAGGAGTCGTTAAGAAGGCTTATCCCACACACATGCACATACACACACGAGAGGCTCATATACTCTCTCACACATACATACATACATACATACATACATACATACACACACTAAAGGCTCATACTCCTTCAGAGATGTTGATTTCTCTCTGTGAACCTGTTAAAAGGGCTAGCATAGAGAGAGGTTCTTCAGAATTGACGTGGCAACTCTACCGTGTGGTCAGAACCTCTGACTCTTTGATTTGTGATGTGAATCCTCCGGCCGAATACTCTGAATAAACCCATCAGTGTTTGACATCAAAGCTCCAACTCTCACCGTGTCTCCTTCCTGAGTCGGTGACTCCATGCATTACTACACAGAAGTTTCCTCCACAATACTAATAGTTATTTCGATGTTGGACGCTGGCATTGTGAATGTGCCGATTAATTAAAGTTAAAAAACAGCTTGAAGGGTTTTCATTAAGGGTTGCACTTGAATAATTTGAAACGTTGTAAAAAAAACCTTTAAAACAACAGGGTTTTTTATTTATTTAGCCAACATGCTGAATATACATACATTGCTTCCAGATCCTTTTTGCTCTATTCTGTTGAATGTCTTTGTACAGTAAATCGAATATGTTTAGGTTTTGTACATTGAGTTCAACGAAACAAGCAATTGTTTTTGTAGCATTATTTTCTCTGTTATTTGACATTATTGAGAATAAACAGTGTTCTAGTTAATCAAATAAGGATAATCAATAGATTAGTCATGACAATAATCATTATGGGAACTGTGAACTTGTTTTTTAATATTTTATATTGACCATGGTATTCATTTTGTATGTATCATTAAAACACATTTTAATGTTTTAATATTTTACAATGACATAATAATGAGAGAAATAGACTTGGATCCTCGGATACAAACAGTTTATTTTATGTCAACGGTACACTCAAATTGCAGGTTTGAGTACGCTTTACTTGCAAGGTGTTTCATTTGGATAGAAACCATTTTTGAAAAGGTAAACTATAACTTAAGGACGAAGGGTTGGTTTGGTTGATCTGTATTTCTGTCCCTGTGGTCATGAGATGACGTCTCCCTCTGTCACGGTGATTATAGCAGCCATGTTCACTGGCGGTCTTGACTCACTTAACAGAAACTCATCGAACACACACCCACACCAACACATAAACATAAATCTCACCAAGTGACGCGTCCTCTGTCTGGTGTAGGAACCGCTAACACAGTGCGTTAGGTCATTTTGCTCCCTGAGGATACAAATGTAAATAGAAGAACGGTTGTGTCTGTCTGCATGTCAGGTTTTCTCTGGTTATGATGACCTTTTATGAACAATATTTAGCTTTCTGTCTCCTTATATGTTAGACAGCACTCACAGGAATGGGTCAAAAGTGGGCAGAAAGTGTCAAACACTGGATTTCTCTGTGGAAGATTTATGTCTCTGTGTGTGTTTGTTTTAATCCTCATCCTCTCCATTTCTTCCAGAGTGACCATGTTCTGGTTTGGTGTGAAAACCACAGACGCTGTGCGCAGGTAAATACTCATACACAAACACTTCCTAACTCCTAAAGACATTTAACTGACTAACATTCATTTTTCCTGAAGGCTTACCAAAACATGAATCACTTCGTGCCTAACCCCAACTCTAACCCTGTTCTCAAGCCAGTCATAACCAGTAAAAACTAATCTATGGTAAAGGAATGAAAAACGGGTTAAACACGTTGAAACAGTTACTCTAATTCAGTTGTTGGTTCCAGCAAACACACTTGGCTGTGTTTGTGGGTGGTCATCCTGTGAGGAATAATTTTTTACTAGTCCACCGACTTCCTAATAGTTAGTTTGGCTGGACCTTCCACATGTTACACCTTCCTAAGCTCATTGCTTGCACTCTATAAGAAGCACTGCCAAAAACACCAGTAGACTTACTGGTGAAAAGGGCAACAAAGTGGGAAGTCTTCCTGACTTCAAATATAAACGTGGCAAGTACTTCACATCCAGAAAAGAAGAAGGTTCTTGAGGCTAAAACCGCAGTAAAAATTGCATTTGCACTAACATACTGTAAGATAAGAGATTTGGATCAAAATGTAGATTTGCGCGAGTGTTTTGATCTTTCTTATTGAGTGAATTGAACCAGCATATCTTGGCTCAGTATAATACCAGGGCCATGTGGCTGGCACATAACTCAAACACATTTCCATTTAACGGTTTGAAAAGTGATATAAACCCATCTTGGTTTTTTGGCTGTAGTTAGTGGCTTTAATAGAAGTGTGATACCACACAATGAGGCATCCTGGTACTAGCACATAATGCATTTGCCACGACAACAGTAGACAGAGGTCACTCTGCACCTCTGCTTTGAGTGGCAAAAAGAGAGAGAGAGAGAGTTTCTCGTGCTTCCCTTGTGTGTGTGGAATCTCTACACCGAACACAAGGCTCCTGTAATAGCAAAGGTTGTGTTTTTAGTTAAAATAACGTCCTCCCCTATATACCTATTATCCATCCAGCCTGGAGCAAAAAATATCCCCTGTTAATTCACTTAACACTGCCCGCAAGAGGCTTCACCGTGAGTGTATGTGTGTGTGTATGATTGTGTGTGTGTGAGCGCTAATTCATTATTTGATTCAGGAGGAGTTTCCATGCTGTGTATTTTAAGCTGCCAGTCTGTTCTCTCTTCAACATTACTGTGGATGTGTGCCATATATTTAGGTAAAACATGATGTTTTTAATCAGAAAGGGTAGAAGGTAAAACAGGAAGATATCTTCACTGTTCGAAAATAACTCATATTACACTTTATATTGATCACTAAGCACAATATGTGATATGAAAGATTATTTTCTGGACTAAATAATGATTCTGGGTGATCTGCAGCCCAATGTCTGTCATCCAGACCTTTTACTTACTGACCCTAAGTTACTCAGTAATAATGACATCTTGAAAGATTCTGTCTGCTTTCTTATTGATGTGTTTTCTGAACTCCCCGTTCAGGTTCAGACCTAAAAGCTGTTTCCCAGCTGAAAAGCACACCTGAGTCGTATTTTATTTCTTGCAACACTTCCAAGCTCTGCTGCAAATGGACAGCCGGACAAAGGGAGAGCAAGAAACAGACGTGAGAGAGAGCTTCCTATCCGTTCAGGGCGTATATCAGTAGTGTGTGTATATTGAGTTCAGATGGGGTTAATGTCTACAACACTCCACACCTCCCACCAACAGAGGGTTGCAGGGGATACCGCACAGAGCAAAACATCAGTCTGCAACTCTGAGCTTTACCTAACCCCCCCCCACCACCTCAAACACAAACACACTGCTCCCTTGACCTTACCCTAACTTATCTACAGCCTTTCCTTCCTTCTCTCCCTTCCTTTGTTTCTATTCTTGATGTTTAGATTTCAACAATGAGAGAATGAGAACAGAAAATATTTTCCAACTTAATGCACGTCTGCACTTTATAACCTTGGCTTTGTGTTCTGCTGTTGTAAAAGTGTGAATACCACTGTGGCACTGTGCTTTAACCAACATCCAACAACAGTCTCTAAGCTGGACGGTGGGGGCTGCCGCAATGTTCTCCTCTCGGACAGGCTGATACTGCACGGACATGCACGACTTTGCACATTGTCTTTCTTTTTGTTTAATTGCAGAGGTATTCATTTTAACATTTTACAGTCTGTTGAAAGTGGAAACAGCCCAATTTGTAAAAGTCATCAGGGCAGGCCAACAAAAATAAATTAGAACAGAAAACCACATTTCCCATTCTTCAGCCATAATTGGCAAGATTAATAAAAAATAATGAATTATAAGGCAGAGGAAGTCCAACAATGTGTAAGGCTCCCAAGGTGTGTGTATGTGTTAACAGGATATGTGGGAGATATTAAAGGCTTGCTATTTGTTTTCTAACCATGATGCACCTTGGGAGCATTGCACGTTGAGCACAGTCCACTTTTGTTTTGTGTAATTAGGGTAACAAATATTCCAAGGTTTCTACTCTTTATTTGGTTAATCAAGCATTTGTTGTAGATATTGTTTTTAGTAAATTAAAGATCCCAAATACAGGTTTTAAGAGACAGACAAAGATATTTTAGTTGCGCTTTGTGGCAATGTCAATGGGTTTGTCTGCTAATTTGGTCCAGACAGAAATATCCCAACAACCATATATCAAATGTTGTATAGACATTCATGTTCCCCTCAGGATGGATTGTAGTAACTTCCTGACTTTTCATCATCTTCCAACATCGGGTCAAAATATCACTTTGTCCAGTTCTTTGATTTACGATGAAATCCCCTCACAGCTAATGACGTTCACATTAGCCTCATCTGTACTTCTTGTTGATTGATAATTAGCACATTATGGCAAAGTATGATGTTGAACATTAAACCTGCCAAACATCAGCATGTTGGCACGGTCATTGGGAGTATGTTACCATAATGTTGTTGGCATTTAGCTCAAAATACCAGCGAACCTCACAGCGTCTCTACCTTGGATTGTGACTCTTCGTCTTGGTAATACTACTGCTGGTTGGACAGAGTTTTGGTAAACAATACTGTACTTATTTTTTAACTGACAGTTGGAAGTGTTAACAGGGGCCAATGCTCTCAAATACTTCATTTTTATTTTTTTTAAATATACCTTCTATGACTGGCATTTTTAAAAATTTGAATCCAATGCTTAAGTACTCTTTTGTATTCAACTGCATGCTTTGGACCCCATATGTGCAATAAAGGGGCCTTAGTCTGAACCTTTTGGAAACTCAGAAGGGAGGAAGTTGTGAGCTCGATGGTCCTTAGCTGTTGGTCTTTTGAAGGAAAAACACTCTTTTCAGACTTTTCTCAGGGGGAGATACAATTTACTCATGTTTATAAACCCAATTTTAGGGTTATTATTAAGTTAAATCTCTCAAAATGTGACTTGGTCTCAGCGTACATTCGACTGCAGGTTCTCATAAAGCATTTGGCAGTGTAATAAATTCAATAACTTATGACAGAGATTTTTAACAGAATCATTTGGGGATTGGTATGACTTTTTGGGTCCTTACTCAGACTTGAAGCAGTGCTGAAGTTGTTCTCACTGAGTTTTAACATGTGTAAGACTTAGTCAGTGTATCCGCTCGCAGTCACACACCCACACACACACACACACAGCATGGCGCACTGCAAAATTAGAGGATGAGTTTAATTTCCCAATATATCTATCACACTTAAGTGGTTGAAAGCTTGAGATGCTCAACTTTGTTCACAAACAAAGGGCATGAAACAATTAAAAATAGCAAGATATTTGAATATCTTTCTTTCAAACATCCTTAATCTCAGACTCCCAGGAGCATTTGTTAAAAAAAATCACAACAATCAACAAAAAAGAGGAACACTTTTCATATAACTCCATGAGTAAGTTGAATGCATCTTGCAGTAAAAATGAAATAGGAAAAGATAAATAAATAAAGGCAAGCATTGTGCTTTATCTGTTCCTTTGTGATGTTAGGGGCGAGGCTTTTCTATTGAAGACAAACACACACCTGGCAGATGTTGCCCCAACACATATGGTTCGTGTCACATCATCAGTGGACTCTTTTTCATGGAAACACACATGGGAATTCACTAAACCTGAACTACAGCCCTCACTCAATTCCTCCATCTGTCCATCTCCTCCTTCTTTTATCTCTCACACACAGGCAAAGTAAACGTAATGTCTACCAGGTGTGTGTGAGGCAGCAGGATGTCCACTAACAAACAGGTCTGATGCAGAGCTATCAAGACACTGTTACTCATTTCATCATTATATTATCATTACTTGCTCTTCAGAGGTTCACTATGCAAGTTGGAAAGGTCTGTATGCTAAGCCTATGCCTGGAATAGATTTAACATCATACTGTGGATCAGAACTGTGTGGTTTTGAGTACTGTCTAATGCATACAACGTTTTAGAGGATATTCTGATCCTCCATAAAGATTACAAGATTCTTTTTTAGTGTATCCCACTCCCTCAAATCACCTCTAACAATCTGTAACTAGAGAATGCAATTCCTGAAGAAATTGCTAGTGGGAATGCTTTACTGTATGCTGAAAGGCTGACGCTAAACTGCTATGCTGAAATGTAATATGTAAGAAGAAAGTGAATAATTTAGATTGAAATGATACATGAACACTGGGGGCTTGAATGTGTGATGAGAGAAGAAAAGAAAGTAAAAAGGCTTGGAAAAGCAGCAGAATATTTGAACTGCAAACTTTTGAACTAACTTGATGGCGAATGATCTGTCGCCATGCCAACGGCATTTGATGACATCCCATAATACGCTTAGATGTGTTGATGGCTGCATCGTTACCAAACCTGTGAAGTTTTGGGCCGTTTGGAGCATTTTCACTGAAGTTATGAGAAAACCGTGTTTCATGGTGAGCATTGTGTTGCCATGGCAACGGCATTTGAAGAAATCTCAAAACTGTCCCGTATATGTCTTCACGGCTGGACTGTTAGCACACATGTGAAGTTTGAGCACTTTTTGAACATTTTCATAGGAGTTATAGCGACATCGTCTTTTATGGCGAGG